ATATTAATTTTTTTTAAAATTATTTTAAACTTAATATAAAACAATAGAAGAGTGTTAATTAACTAGGAGTTTTATATACCTCTCTAAAAATGACTAACTTAATACCGCTCCCTCGTAGAAGTGATCACCTCAGGCACGAATCGAATATGTAGATTTAGAGAATATAAAAAAAAAGGTGGAGATGGAATTTTAGATTAGCAAAGAAGATCACTTGTACGATGTTTTTTTCCCTCTTCTCAATCCATCAGAGTTGTTAAAAGATACTTTTTAAATGGATCTAGATACAGATACATCGTCTAAAATAATATCTAGATATAGATATTTTAATAAAAAATCTACCTAGATATAGATACAGATACCACATTTTTATATCTAGATCCTTGTATCTAGATCCTTAAACAACCCTGCAATCCACCATATAAGAGTTCGTTCTTTATACCTAAAAAAGAAATACCTATTATTATAAATCACTTTTTAAATATCTTGAACTTATATACTTCAAACTTCTTCGTAAATATCAATTAATTATATAAAATGCCTTACAATTATTTTATATTCATGTAATGTAAGGGGGTGTTATTAACTGAAAAAAAAATTACACAATATATACATTGTTAATTAATTAATTAATTATTTTTTATAATAAAAATTCACTTTTAATTTTTCCTTTTAATATTCTTCTTAAATAATGATTTTTTTTTTAAAAAAAAATCTTCCAAGACAATCAAACAATTAAGGTAATTTAAAAAATTATTTTATTTTATTTTTTACCTTATTTTAATTATTATGTTCTGGAAAAATTTTAAGCAATTGTTCATTGTGTTAGATTTATATTTTTTTATATTTAAGTGAAAATTTTTTGAATATTTTTATCAGCTAGGTCCATTTACAGTAAATGCGACTTTTTCAAGCGCAATGTGGTCGATGACATATAATGATAATACCTAGACTGACGATGCATTCATTAAAAGTGTACATCAATAAAAAAACAGCTGGGGATGCCATTTTGATTACCCATATCATTTAAAAAATTTTAAACGAGAGGGCCAATTTTGTTTGGACGCAAACTTTATTAAAGAATTGCCCAGATCATCGAGATAATAAAGGAAACAAGTTATCAAATTAAATAGTAGTTTTTTAACACGAGAATAATTACTATATGGGTTACCAAAATGGCGGGTTCAGCTGATTTGCATTTAACGACGCTTTTAAATGCATCGATTATAAATGCATCGTCAGTCTAGGTATTATTATATATCATTGGGTGTGGTAAGTTATCGAAACCACAGTTCATTCTTCGCAGTAAGAATTTTTGAATCACACGTGGTAAAACATATGTTTTTCAAATTTTATTTTAGCGGTTTCCATTATTTCATATTTATAAACTTTTATTTGGCCAGATTTTGCAAATAATGCAGCAGGGTAACTCCTCGAACAAATGGCTTTTAATATAAATGAGGCGTTATGGTTTTTATGCGAAATGAAGGTCCCCAGACCTGGCTCCCTAAATTTTCCGCGAAATTTATCAGGTAAACGAGCCGCGCCTACCTCGAGAACGCGTCTCCAAGACTGATTTATTCTACGCGAGAAATCATGTATATTAAATTAAAGTTGTCCAATAAAAAAAAACTTAAAACAATTGCCTATTAATTAGAGGTGTAACGATACAACTTTTTGGAGGCCGAATCCGATATTAAATTGATATCGGCCGATTACCGATCCGATATCATATCTAATTTTGTATTCGGCAAAGATACCAATGGTTTTAATTTTTAATATAACATCTATTATTTAACTATACCATAACTCATGTCATTTAAATACATATAATGATTTTATATTCAATTTAATTTTTAAAAATTTATAGCATCATATTTTTGTTAAAGACGCCATTTTATATCGGATCGGGTGAGAAATTTTTTATAATATTGGCCAATAACCGATATATTGGTGAAATATCGGTCCGATCCGATAAAAAATATCGGTACATCCCTACTATTAAAACATTATTGATTCAGATTTGGGCGTAGGGTTATGTACTATTTTTAAGAGATAAGTTAATTTTTCCGCAAGTAATAGAGTTAGGGTTATTGCGTGGAGTAACAACATGCCCGCGGAAAGGTTGAGCAGCCAGGGTGGACAAAATGCGACTATTTTAGGGGATGTCAAATTTCTAAAAACCTCAAATCTCTTTTCAAAATTACACCTTGGTTTGTTATTTCTAGATTTTTTTTAAAACTTAGGTAAATTTGGTTTTAGAGAACGGCCGGATTGAACGCCAAAATTCTTAGCATAACCAGAATAAAAGTCCAATCTTAAGATTTACCATCATCTTATTAATGGAATTCAAATCATTTTTACCTCCCAAGGGAATCACGCACATAAATATCCTGGACAAAATGATAACGGACAAAATATTCCAATTTTAGAAATTTGTCAAAATGGCTAAAATGGGGTAATTTTATAAAATGTTCACCTTTTTATATGTTGTCCAGGTATTTTAAGATTTAAACCATTGTGGATCATCTTCTTCTATCAAATCCTTCAATGACTTTTGGTAGCATTGCTAGAATTGGCTTCCATATTAAAAGAATAAAATTCTAAGTAAACTCGTCACTAAATATTTAACTTGACCATACTTCAAGATGTCGGAACTGGGCATACATGCAAATGAGCGAGTTTTTAGCCAGGTCATTATCTCAATTTTTACGCACCATGCCAACAAAATAGACTAGAGGTTGGTTCTTTAAAATAACATAGAGCTAACATTTTTACCTAACCCATTCTACTGTTTAAAATTTGTTCGCCCTTGTTAATGGGCTGGCAAAATTGACATTCTGGAAAGACATAAACATGTCAAGCACGGCTAAGCCCGTTTTACAAATTTATAAGGCCCTTAGAAACAGGGTAGCTGGTGCCAAAATTGGACTATTTAAGTTCCTTTTCTTAAGGCTTAGATAAATTGGAGTTTTAAAGCGACACGTGAGACCCTGTTAAAGATTTTATTAGACAACTTGAAAATAAATATCAATTATTAAAATTGCCTGCTATGCTATGATTGAAATCAAATCTCCAAATATTTAGACGAACTAACAAAATATTTACAAATTTTTTAAAATTAAATCATCCTTTTTTTTCAACAAAATCACAATTCCTTTCCTTCCACCATTTTTTTTTTTACTTTCGATTTTATTTTTCATAAAAAAAAATTATAAATATCTGCTGCTCCAGGTATGAGCATGCGCATCAAAAAAAAAATAAATAAAAAAAACGAAGAAAGGTGATTGGAAGGTATTAAATGTCGATATTAATATTATTTATTATAAAACATTTATTTTTTTAAAATTATTTTGTAATATAAATTTTCAATTGCCAAAAATAATTTACAAAAATAGGAAAAGTTAAAAAGATTACAAAAAAAAAATTTAGAGTTAATAAATAATTTTGTACGACCATTTTTAAGGTGTTTTTTTGTGTTCTTTGTTTTCTAAAATTTCATTTAATAAATAAAAAAAAATATAAAATAGGGTATATCATTAATCATTTTAAAAAGTATGTTTTTTAAGAAAATAATTTTTTCAAAATTTCTATATTGTCTTGTCTGGAAATTAAATACCTGAGTTTAGAAAAATTTAAAAAAAAAACAAATTCTCTAAAGGAAAGAAAGTTAAAAAGTTATTATAATTTTTATGATATTTTTAAGCTAAAAATAAAACCTTTTTTCTTTTTTAAAAAAAATGAAATAAATAAGAAATTTAATATAAGGAGTATTCAAATTACATTTTAAAAATTTTAGTTTTTTTTTAAAAATCTTCCTTTTAAACCATTTCCATTCTCAATCTAATTTAAATACTTAAAAGATTTAATGTAATTATTGTTCATAAATTCATAAAAAATATTTATAAAAATATTAAAATTATATAAAAAATAAATTTTACCTTCAAATTTTTTTTTTAATGCGAAGAAAATAAGCAAGCTAAAGCGTAAACATTTGCACATGTAAAAAAAAAATTCTGTTTTGAGACATCTTCCTCAAAACGACAGATTATAAATATAAATATTTCTTTTGGTTTGCATATGTTGATTTTTTTATTTTATAAATTATGTTTTTTTTTGTATTAAATATTAATTAATTATGCAGTTAAAAATATACTTTTAAAAGATTTAAAAAATATATATTTTAAAAAATTTTAATTAAATTTTAAATTATCTAAAATTTCAAAAAAAAAGAAAGAAAATGAAACATAATATATTTGCGTAACGTCGAAATGACCAAAAAAAATCGTTTGGTTTCACTGAATCCACAAATATTCTTTGGAAAAATTGGATAGAAGTAAAATTATTTTATTCATTTTGTGTTAGGCTTTAGAGTTAGGTATTACAAATCATTATTTTTTATAAAATAGTAAAAGATGAAACTTTTATAAAAATATTATTATATATAAAATTAAATTGTAACCATTTGTCAAACAACATTTTAACGAAGAAATATAATGACTTTTTCCAACCTTTGTTTTTATTATTTTAAAGTTAAAATAGGCAGGAATGTTTTCTTAAATTTTTTTTTTTAGTGATTCTCTTTCTTAAGCATCTGTTTTTATCAATTTTTTTTTTTAAATAACAAATTTTCTCCCCTTATTCTTTGCATTATGTGCTTTTTTAATATATAAAATTATAATAATTATTAGGTTTCAAATTTTTTATTTATTTTTTTTTATTTTAAACCTTAATTATCATTTTACCTTTGCAATTTTTTTATTTAAAATTTCTAATGTGTAAGTAAAAATTCCTTATAATATTGAAATCTAAATATTACCTTTTTATTTTAAAACATAATTTTTACGTTATGTTAATTGGAACGTTTTGTTCTACCTTAAATTTATATAAAATTTTTAAACTCTTTTAAGAAATTAAAAGTTCTAATAATTTTCAAAAAATAAAACATTTTTTTTTCAAGGGATGATTTACGGTGCATCGAATAAATAATATATTTTATAGGTAATATGACATTCGATGGTTAAATTATAAAGTTTTCAATATCTTTCTTTTCTAGCGACAATGATTATAAAAAAAAAGACAAAAAAATAGTATCGCTAAATTCTAAATATCCATCATGAATAGAAGCAGAAATAATAACTGAATGTTCCTTCGGCGTTTCTTGACGACATTCCTTAATTTGTAATAATTCTCTCCAATCCGCATACAAGTAAAAAGTATTTCATTTTTTTGTAATTACGGATAATTTAATATAAGATAGAAATAAACTGTGCAAAAAGATTAGAAAGTTGGGGGAAAAGCAGACGATAAAATTATCAAGATATTTGATTTTTTTCTTCTTCTTCTTCTCTCGACTTTGTTTATGTCAGCAGCAAGTTTCTAAAATGTTATTTTTCTTCGATAAAAAAAATCATTAAAAGTGTGTTTATGTTAACGTGAGCGATGGCGATGTATGGCGCAAAATCTAGGGAATATAAAAATAATTCCACCTCAACTCCTACCTCTCAATCTCCCAATTCTGGCGATCACGGCAAAATAACGAACGTGTCAGATTCTATCGACGGAAACTATCCATATCACGTAGAGGATGTTGCGACAAATACTCAAAATAACGAGTCCTCGTCTTCCGGTAACCAATTTACGTTTACTCGTGCAATAGAGTCCGAAAATGAATGCGCTATTAAAGAAGAGGATAAATTGGAAAAGGAATTGAGCGTAGCCGAGTTTTTGCAGAGTTTGAAAAGTAAGAGATATTCTAATGAGAGAATAGGTGTTCAAAAGCCCGTCGATACCAGATTTGTACCTGAGGTGACACCTAAAATAACTGATGTAATCAGGAACCTGCCTCCAACCTTGTCATCTTTTCTAAAGTCACGAACAAAATACCTGCTCATGAAACAAAACTCAGGTAATAATCGTAAATATTTAGTAAATAAAAAAATCACAATTTATAAAATAGCATATATATATATATCTCCTAACATAATAAATTTAAAAAATACTGAGGACAAACATTCGCACACAAAAACAGACTCCATCTATCCTCGATAATTTTATCGCCTGCTTTTTTTAATATTTTTTTTAGAAAAATTTTTTTTTTAAAAACCTAACCTTTTTTTTCTTCTTCAAAAAATTTAGCCATAAAATTATTTTCACTTTTTCTTTTCTAAAGCACTTTATTTTATTTTTCCTACTTTTTTCGTGTTACATTTTTTTTTATCGATTTCTTTTCTCTTCGTTTTAAGTCTTGTGTGTGTTTTTTTTGTTACTTTTATCCTCGTATAAAATATATTTTTTAAACATATTTTGAAAAGGAGACAAAATAATCAAAAATATATTTATCGGATATTTTCGAAAAAATCATTTATTGACATTTATAAAAATAAAAAATAAATATTATAAATGGTAAATATAATTTGTCATTCATTTCATTGGGAACCCCTTTCCCACCACCTTTCCTCGCCTCGCGTTGAAAGGAGCGATGCGGACCGTTTTAATGAAGCGGGTTAAACGTTATAACCTCTGGTTTAACGTATTTCTGTTTTAGACCTGTCAAAATTTTGAGCTAGGATACCCTTATCCTGTTTTTGTTTTAAGTTGTGGCAAATTTATAGCCTCATCTTTTAATTTGTTTACAGAAAGCTATATAAACGGTTAAATAGATTTCTGCTTAGAGATACGGCCTAAAGGCTCGGGTCCTATCCTGAGTAATTAGTTTTTTTAGTGAGAAAGGGGGGTGTGTAAATATCTATAAATCAGAGAGGGTTGATCCTCTAATATTAAGCTTATTGAGGTTGCGCTCCTAGCTCGTTTTGATTTTGTTCGACATTCCGAATAGAGCATTTCTATTTCGATTCAGAAAAGATTGTAAGAGTGGTACCACCATTTTTTCAAAAAGATTTATTATAGACTTTTTACATTAATAATGATATCAATGCGCAAAAATTTAAATATAAGACATGTTAACTGATTGAACTTAATTTTAGATTCGTTACAGATGATACCTTTAAAACATGCTTTAAAAGATGTAATTGTAATTGTAATTACATCTTTATTTTTTTTAAAGTTTAGAAATCACAATTCAGGAAGTTATATTTAGAATACCACACAGTCGTAATATTCAGCATTATATAATTATCATAGATTATGATGGGGCTGGAGGTTCTTTTTTTAGGGTGGATTTATAAAATTTTATCTCGAATAATTTCCCGTCAATCATTCGAGAAGGTAAGAAGGTTCAAAAACTGATCTCGAATTTTATTAGTTTCATATAGATTAAAGAATGAACGAGATTAAAATGTGATTACCTAGTCTGATTAATTTATAATGAGGAATGTCGAGATGTAAGAACCAGGAGTCAGCGGCATCTCATCCCTAGAGATTTTTTTTTATTAGTCTAAACCATTAAGAACTAACGATGCCCAATCCCAGTGATCCCATTTACGAAGATGGAGAAATATTTTTTTAAAACTTTTTACGCGAAAATTGGACTGACCGCAACGAGTCATTCGCGGCTGCCGAAATTTTTATTTTAGAAACCAATAGAAATTTGTAGACGAATCAGCTGATGGTAAATCATCTTTTTTCTCTATTTAAAAAAAAAACTCCTCCAAAATTAACCCCTAAAAAAATGAAGTGTATTATTTTAACGATTAAAAAATTCGTAATTTTTTTCTCCCCTCGAAAAAAAAAAAATTAAAAAATCAAGGTTACATTTTATTTTAAAACATTACATAAATAAATATAAATAATATACTTTTTTTAAAATATAAATAATGTTTGTAATTTTACTTTTAATTTTCTTTCTTTCTTTGAAATTTTTTGAAACGCCAAATTTTCCTCGCGTAGTAAAAAAAAAAGAGAAAAAGGCCGATAAAGAAAGTTTTTTTTTCTTTTAAGAGAGGTGGGAAAAGGAAAAGGAAATACCTTTTTATGATCTTGAGGTCAAGTTTCGAGTTTAACTACTAACCCAATTTTTTTTATCGTTTTTAATTTGTGCGAAGTAGCCAATGATATATGTAATAAAAATAATACCTAGCCCGACGATGCATTCTTTTAAAAGTGTACATCAACGAAAAAACAGCTGGGGACGCCATTTTGATTACCGGTACCATTATTGAAAAATTTTTTAAACGAAAGCCCAATTTAATTCCTATATCTGGCGCGAATTTTATTAAAGAAATTGCCTGATCATCGAGATAATAAGGGAGGAGCAAGTTATCAATTTAATGATAGTTTTTAAACATGAGAATGATTACTACATATGGGATTACCTAAATTGCGGGTTCAGCTGATTTGTATTCAACAACGCTTTCAAATGCATTATTTTGAAAGCATCGTCAGTCTAGGTGTTATTAGATGTCATGGGAAGTTGCTCAATTTTGGATGGTAGATTAGGTAGATGATGACAGAGCTGTTTTCTTTCCGTAACTAAATCATTATAAATAATGTCCCCACAAAAATTTATTTAAAATTATTAAATATATTTTTTTTAAGAAACATTTTTGAACGGAAGGAAATTTCATTTTATATTACCCCCCCCCCCCTCCACCCCCAAAAATCGAAAAGTAGATAAACAATTATATTTTGTTAATTATCATTCTCCTAATTTGAGCGGTGCTCGAATCTGGGGCAAGTTTGAGGCTTCTCGGGGCATTTAGAAACAGACTCCTCCCCTTCAGGATTGTCACCCTAATTTTCAAAAAATATCTCATTTCTCCCCCCCCCCCCCGAATTCTAAAATTTTCTAAAATCTAGCCCAAAACTTTATAATTTCGTTTACTCAGATTTCGGGCTTTTAAGTTTCATTCATGCACATTAATCATTGTGGTTTTCACGTTGAAAAATACAGTCCACAATTTACGATTCAAAAAAAAATATGTATACCGATAGTGCAAATGTTTTGACATGCGGGACAAGAAAAATGCATGTGCGATGGAACAAAAGCGAGCAAAGTAATCATCAATGTATTGAGACCAAAATCTTTAAAAAAAATGATTATAGAAGATTCTAATAGATTACTGACCCTTTTTCAATTCTTACAGAAGGAAAGCTAAACATTTTTCATTAACAGTAAGATAGTTTACGATAAAGGCGTAAATATTGAATTGTTAAAATTCTAAATGACATAACAAGATTCGGATTTAAAATAAATAATATTTCAGCATTCTGTGCTGATAAGATTTATTTTGGTGTTAAAAAAAACTTTAGTATAAGGCAATCTAACGAAAAACTCTTACTTATATTCCGTTTTTACATTTTAAATAATTCGTGCGAAGACAATCAATTTATTAACATTTGAGGTAAAAAAAAAATCTTAATGAAAAGTTACTATGAATTCGATTCTTCGGCAAAGCGAGTTATTGAATGGAGTGCGATCCCAGAAATTGATCGGATGACTACAATCTAAGGATGTCGTGTTATAACAGAAATGTCTAATACGAAGCATATACTATTTTTAAAACAAAATTGGAGTATTTGGAATTGAAATAAGATTTCAAAGGTCTTATTTATAAATGTCTGAATATTTATCACACTTGAAAATAAAATAAACCATCATTTAGCTAAAGCAAAACTATAAACCTGCCAACGATTTTATGAATACCTTAATAAAGAAGTTAGTCATTTAATTAATACTCAAAATCAAATCAAAACTCAAATTATAATTAATATTATTTTAAATATATCATTAACTATTATTTTTACTGTTTTACTTTTAATGGGATTCTTAAACCATTTTTTGTCATTGTACGTCTATCTAAGTGAATTATACATATATAACAACGATAATTGATCAAATCAACTAATATACCTTTATTACCGAACATGATATTACAGTTTGCATATCACGGTTATACCTTTTACGATAAATAAATTTAGCTATGAATTACGATATAATTTCAAAACCGAATATATTTGCTGGCTATCCAAAATTTATAACCCTGTTTGGACTGAGATAAAACCCACCCCGAGGGCCCTCAAAAGAGGGCGAGGAGATGAGGGCGCGGCCTCGTTCTCGTATATTTAGTAACCCAGTCCTCTCCCCCCAACCTCCACCCACCCATTCCAAATTTTGGCCTGGCAACCCTGATCCCCATAGTTAATTTTTATAATTTTTCCTCTTCCAGAAAAAAGATAATTTTATATTTTTATTCTCTTACCCCCCTCTCTCCCCTTTTCGCCTATTTTTCTTCTGATTCAGGTTAAACATGCACACACGTTTTTTTTCACGTTTATAAAATTAAAAATGATTACATTTTTCGTTAAAATTTCATTACATTAATATTTATATATTTGTAAAAAAAAATATTTTATATAAAATATATATATAAAATAAACATATGGTGGTTTTTTTTGGTTGATTCTGTATTATGAACCTATAATAATATAAAAGTAAAAAAATAAACCACATAGACTACCTAATTTTTTTTAAAAAAAATGATATGAGAGATAAGAATTACCCACAAAACCCCATTTCATACTGCCCCACCTATTTTTTTTTTGAAACCCACGATGCCCATATCTTCGGTTAATAATTATCTCAAATTTAATAAAGAAAATATTTAAAAAAATAAAAAAAATTTTTTTTTTACCTTTGACAGGTATGAAATGTCATTCAAGGTAATTTTGAATTTTACCTTTTCGTTAAAATATTTATCTGTTTTATACCTAACGTCATTTGCGTTATAATTGACATTTTATATTATTTTTTTGAGGTGTTAAAATATAAAAATATATTTTTTTAAAAAAAAAACCAATCATTTTTTAAATTGACGTTGTAAGTTAAAAAAATTATCTATATTTTTTGACAATAATTTGTCAGTAGAATATTATACTTTTTTGTCTCCAACTATCTCCGTATTTCACGAACCAAAAAAACAAGTTTTTTATAGTTTTGTATAGAATATTTTTGAAAAAATTTTTTCTTCCTCGTTAATTAGACGTACGGAAATACATATCAAATAATCACGTTATTCGTATTCGATTTTACGAATAATAATTATTCGATTCTTCGGATATTCGGGTTACGTGTAAAAACCGATTTACTTCTCTTAAGCGATCTTGTGTTTACCTCAATTTTTGGAGCTAACTTATCGGATATTTTTTTGATTTTGTACCTTTTAAATAGCTAGATAGAACAACCATTTATCGTGAAAACATCTGAATAATTTTGTCCCTAAGGTTTTTTTTACCAAAGCGACCTTTAGACTTTAAGCATTATATAGCAAAAGCTATAAAAAAAAATAAAATAAGAATTTGCTCATGAATTTTTTTTTACCGTCTGCTCACTCATTGTATCAATTAATTCCGAATAATTTGCGTATTGTAGTAATATGATATATTTTATGTAAAGCGGAAATACCCCGTCCTTAGCCTCCCAAGACTAAGCGGCCATTATTAGGCCAATTATTTTTCGCCTTTATTTGATTCGAATATACGCGTTATTGACTTTTCGTTACGTATATCCGATACAAATAACTTGGCGAAATTTTTCAATTTTTGTGTATTTCTTGCTTTTGAATTATTTTTCCCGGTTCTCTAAACCCTATCGAAAAATTCTTCCGAAATTGATTTCTTGTTGGCAGATGAGTTTTATCAGATTTCAGGATATTTCTATCATACACCAAAATGTCTTGTCAAGACAATCACCGTGTTCTGTTTAAAACCATCTTTTTTATATTGACGTTTACGTCTCATTGATTAAATATTTAGAATTAATCCTAATTGACAGCTTGGTGTCAAGGTGGCGCGTACGTAATAGTAATATTTCTTTCTTTTTTTGTTCAAATTTTTCAGCTTCCTCCTCGTCCAACAACAATACCCGCCTCTCTCTACCCAACGGACGAGCCGTTAATGAACGGCCGCCGCTCTCCTTCCCCTTAGTTTCGAACCCTTCCCCTCATCAGCGATTCTCCTCTACGACCTTCAACAATTACTTCGTATCCAAATCCTACCACAATTATTGTCCCAAGTGCAATCTCTATTTCGGTTCCAAGACGCAACTCGATAAGCATCTAGCCTTGCACTCTCCCGTTAGTCAAACGTGCGAGGTATTATTTCTATTTTTGGGCGATTATTTTGAATAACTTTCAATACCCCGGTTTTATTTTGCTTTCCTAAAATGAGAATTATAACCAGTTTTCGAATGGCTATTTAAGCGTCCACCTGTTCGGTGACGTGATACGGCTAGCCAATCCGATTATTCGAGTTATATGTATGTTAACCGAAATACCCTAGAGTACATTCCAGCCCTCGATATTTTCAAGAAAATATTATGGAACTTCTTTTTTTAAAAAAAATTACGTTTTTTTTGTATTGAATTTAACGCGCGCAGGTATGCGGGAAAGTGTTCGCTAATATTTACCGCCTTCAAAGACACATGATCAGTCATAACGAAAGTGCAATCCTCCGAAAATTTCAGTGCAATCAATGCGAGAAAGCGTTTAAATTCAAGCATCACCTAAAGGTGACCATTCTGGAATTTATATTATATTAAGTTAAGAAATAAAGAAACATTTTTTTTAAAGAAAGGATATCTCTCTCTTGCCATATTATTAATTCACATGATCGTGAATCATTTCTTTAATCTGATTAATTGATCATTAATTTATTTTTTAAAAAACAAACCTTTTCGTCTCGTGAAAATTACTAGGGATTTTGAGTTTACGGTCAGATCAGCTGATTTATTCCTGGATTAGATTGGTCGATTAAAAAATTTTTTAAAATAATTCTCTAGGAACACCTCCGTATTCATTCTGGCGAAAAGCCTTTTCAGTGCAATATTTGCTATAAACGATTTTCTCACTCCGGTTCCTATAGCAGTCACATGACCAGCAAAAAATGCGTTTCTAAGCTTAAAAATACCACATCGACTTCGTCGTCGTCCGTTCCCACCCCCGTCAAGACCGAAAACGGTATAATAATTAATAATATAATTTTTTTAAAAAATTGATTAAATTTCCCAGTTTGTAGATGGAAAAGATAGAAACAGAATAATAATAAAATATAAGAGAAAGGGCAACGATAAAATAAATATTATAAATTCCGTCCCGCCCAGAAAGATTTAGGACGAATTCGATCCGGTCCAGCGGAAAACGCGTCTAAGAGTAATTGTAATTGACATCGATCAACTAATTTGACATACGACTTCATTTTTTTTTTTAAAAATAAAATAAAAAATATTTAAAAAATTCGTAAACACGTAAAAATAAAAAAAAAAAATTAAATATGTAATATCGTATATGTTTCGCGAAATAAGATCGAAAGAAAATTAGGATTAATTTTTTTTTTTAAAAATATACTTATATTATATTTTGAAAATATCGATTTTTAAAAGATTAAAAAGGAAGGGAATATAAAAAAAAAAATACCAAATCTATCCCCCTTCGATTTTTTGAAATATGGGTATGCGATTCGCCTAAAATGTCGTTCATTCATTAATTGGCCCATAGGATAATGAAGCATAATATCTTTGCCAGGCATGGGTATATCCAGCGGAGTTTTTACCCCACTGCTTAAGACCCCAGTGTTTCTTTTCCGAGGCCAGGCGCGTAAGCATTTACCGCTTCTGCGTGAGAGCACAATCATTCGGAGGACAATTCGAAATTAACTATCCCCTCCTATTTACCAACTCCCTCCCCTATAATATTCTTTTAAGATTCGGGGAATCCTATATAATCGGACACTCCCGTCGAATAGGATTGGGTTTTTATCCCAATAGGAGGGAGGGTCTAAAATATCATTTAAACAATGGGCGGCTAGGGTTGTCCGGCACGTTAATTTTTTTATTGGGGTGAGTGGGTGGCCGGGCAGGCGTGAACATTTTTAACCAATGTGCGCGTGCTCTACCAGCAGACCCCGAACCTTTTCTTTGTAACGCTTTAAGTTTTTCTGCGCATCATCCATTCTTACTTTGTTTTTGATGCCATGTACAGTATTCCAGAATCCCGAAACCCACTGAGATGTTACTAAATAATACCACCACCCCGCCAGAAAGAATTTACGAAAATAATTAAGGAGAAAAGGTAATATTATAAGGTATCTTGATTTCCCTTTAGGATTTTTTCTTGCTATCGTCATAGTTATCTTTGCTACCTAATTCCTCTACGCCATTCGGGATGAGGAGCGGCGAAGGCGAGCGTTCGCGTACCCCAATTTCAAGGTGCGCCTTAATAAAGGGTAGCGAATGCGACTTGGCATAAGTTGAATTCTTAAATATAATGTTATGTTTTTTTATTTTTTGTTGTAATAATTTTATAAACTCTTGTGTTAATTTTTTTTTTTTGAAGGAAAGATTTTGAAAAAGATAAAAATATTATATGTCAACCTTGAAAAATGCTTTTTTTTTAAAAAAAATTCTTTCTCAAAGACACACTAAAAGAACCTCAATTTTTAAGATGAAATTATTATTTTTTTGCACATTGTAATTATACTCCTTTTTAAAAATTTTAAATTTGTAAGAAAGAAAAATTGATTAATTTATTTTTATTTTTTTAGAGGAAGAGTATTTTTTATGTAACATGCATCTTTTTTTTCTATAATTTAATAAGGAGAATAAAAAAAATTAGAACAGCATTATTGGTGTTCTCATCTGATTGCCTAAATCTTGAGGCGCGTTCGATTCTCCCCTGTTTCTGGGTTGCGCCATTTTTTGGCTAAAGTCTCGAGGCAAAGATGTTAGTTTTTGACCGGCCACTCGATTCTATCCAATGGAGTGGTTTACTCTCTTTGATTGGTTCCCTAGAAGAAATGGCGAACCTCGATATAAATTTAGCCCATCTTAGCGATGTCCCTGAGCCAAATTTTTTTAAATTTTACTCCCCCCCCCCATCGTTTGTTTGATGTTGGTAAATTAGCAAGTTTATCAGGCGTAGATTTATACTAGTCCAATTCCAGCATCTTTTGCAGAATCTAAAAAATGCGCAATTTTAAAGAAAATATGGACAGTCGAGAAAAAGACCTTGGGCAAAAATATTCCAATTTTAGAAGAAAAAAAAATTAATTGACAGGGCAATTTAAAAAGTGCTCACCTTCTTAAGCGTCTAATTATTTTTTTGGTGGTTTTCTTCTTGGGTATTTTTATCCAGTGTCTTCTTATCCAGGGAATTTTTGTACTATCTAGGACTTTAAAATGGCATTAAAGTAAAACTGGCATCGTGTCAAAAAAATAAAAATTATTTATAAATGATCTTTATCTTGGAAAAGTTTTAAAATATCGAGTGTGACAACTGAATTACATTTTTATTAAATTTATAATAATGCATAGCGTTAACCAATCAAAATCAGCGTAAGATTAGCCTTTACCAATCAAAATCGGCTTAAGTTTAGCCAAGCTAAATAAGCTTAAACTTACCCTTAGCCAGTAAAAATAGGCTTAGTTTTAACCAAAATAAATCGGCTGGCTACCCAATTATATTTAAGAGAAATCTCTTATTTTTTATATATAATATTTGTTAAAGTGATTAAGATTTGATTTTAGAGTATCCTTTTTAACGCCTCCCCTTCCCCACTTATAATGTGCTATTAGTGTCTCTCAGTTTTTTTTTTAAAATAAAAATCATATTTCCTACCTAGTAGGATTATTTTTCTAGAACATGTGTTTAGATCAGGGCCTAAATCATTTCCAGAATTTTGACGGCATTATATATATCAAATAAATCTAAGTAAGAAGCTTTTCTAAAGCCGGCGATTTGATTGCGGAATCACCTTTCTGGCAAAAAGGTTCTTCAAACTATCATGATTCGTTGTCCCAGGATTCCTGGACAAAAAATAGCTTTACAATAAAATATGAAAAAGGATGAACAATTATTTATTTTAAAAAAAAAAACAAAATAATTTACTACTTAGAATTGATATTTTCTGTCATTTATGTTGGAAATGATAATTATCGTGATTTATTTCACACACCCCATTTTTTTAAAATTTAAATTTCGTTTTTCTTAGACCACCTTGCCCCTTTAACCCCTCTTCTCGGGGCCGGGTCATTAAAACGCCAAAAATAATCTTGCCTGAACGGTGTTGACCACTTTGTCCCCATCGTAGTTACGTCACCCTGCTCCTTTGGGCTAGCCGCTTTGAATCTTTTCAAAACGGTTTCGAAATCCACAAGGAAAAAAATCCAAAATAACTCGGTCCTATTATTTAATGTTAAAAATTCTTGGTTTCGAGAGTCAAATCTTACAGTTGTTGGGTGATCTTGGAAGTGGTGGAAATATCACCAAAAATTTAATTTTTATATTTTTTTTTCCTCGTTTTTTTTTTGCAGACGCTATAGGTTCTCATAAAGAACCCCCTTTTTCGATGAACGCATCGCCAACCACCGCCAGTTATCCCGTCTATTCGCGCAGCCCTACCGCCCGTTATAATGGGCCAGGGATGGGAGGCGCGACAGAAGCCAACGCGGATTCCGATTCAACGAATGGCGAGGATGGCGATGAAAATAATATCGCAAGACTCAATAGTGCGATCGCGCCTTCTGATTCGTTGTCCTCGTGTTCGTCGCCTATGCAATGGTGGCAGCGTTTCTATTATTCCTACTATCTATACCAGCAGCATCAACAGAATCAACAGCAAAATATTCACAATCAACAAACATTCAGATTCAGCAACCATCACTCTCCTCATGATAATACTCCACAAAAAAACAGCTTTTTATCCGCCAATATTTACGCTAATAGAGAAAATAATACCGCTAATAGCGATCATCGAAAAACTTTGCCCACAAACACCGAAAACTCATCTCGCTCCCCTTCTCACGCATCTAATTCCTTATCACTTTTGCCACACGGCGTTTCCGCTAGCGCTTCTTATAATGCGTCCTTTAGGGCGGAAACGCTCGCAGATCTCTACCACCAATACCTGGCCCGTCCACTACCCCCTCTGATGCACCCGATGCTGCCTCCCCACCATCCATTTTACCCGCCACCACCTCTTGCCCCCACCTTAGCACTACCCTACTTGGCGCCCTTTTTCTTCCCACCAAACAGACGTAATTTTCAAGATCCCATTCCCATCAATTACGAAAGCAGTATTGACGAAGAAGAAAATGGCGGAAACGAGGATAATCGATATGGCGGAGACCGAGGTTTGGGTAGGGTGGATAGATTTGACCAGGAAAATGACGAATCCGACAGCGAAAACGGACCTCTGGATTTATCGTTCAAAAAGATGAAGAGCGATTCGGAAAATCGAAATTTTTTCAACGATTACGGGGTCAGTGCAAATAAATTTATTATTATTATTTTTTTTTTATCTTAAATTTTGTAAGAGATACTTTTTGAAATAAATGTAATCTTTATACCTGTACACCCTCGAAAAAGAATATTTTATTAACTTAGATTACGTTTTATGGATGTAAAACGATACTAGATTGCATATTATCAACACTAGCTTTGTTAAACGGCTCTTATTTGAGCGATTTTTTAAAAACGGCTAACTCAATATTTTATTCAAAAACATACTTATGCAGGCCTAAAAATTTTGTTTATAGACGGTACAAAGGTTTGGACATCTATTAGCCAAATCTAGAAGCTTAGGCAATATTTTTCTGGCTAAAATTTTGAGTTAGCCCTTTAACAACACTAATCAAAACCCAATATTTCACATGATCCTAGTTATATACCTCAATATTCATTCAAATCTTTATTTTTTATGAATTTGATAGTAAAATATAAAAAAAAAATGTTTTAAAATCAAACAAAGAAAATTAAAAATCTATCATTCATTTTCTTCTGGTAAATATATTGGAAAACGTCCATAAATGTCAATTACAAATCGACAGGTACAACACAATTATAGTCGCGATAAATTTTCAATAGGTTTAATACGGTACAAACAGATACGATACAGTATCTGTATTTTAACAACTCCGAATTGAACAGTCCTTTGAGTGCCACTGCCTCGGTATATCGTCGCCTTAGAATTAGGTTATTCCATATCCACTTTAAAAAAATCCGAAATATTTATTAATTTAATTATAGTTAATATATGGTTTAATTATCCTATTTAAAATATTAGAAACTTAATTTTTAAAATTGCAATAATTGGAGATGGAATAATCTAATTCTCAAGCGATGATATATCATAGAGATACCACACTTTATTTTTTAAAAAAAAATTAAATATAAATAAATAAAAATTTTTGCGGCATTAAAAAAATGCTTTCGAATTTTAAAGTAAACATGTAGTTGTTTATTTTTTTTCCTTACATGTTTATTCTCGAAAGTTCTCCCCCAAGTCATTAAAAACCCTCCCCCTCATCTAAAGGTTCCTGGTTATGTGGAGTAGGTTTATTTTGTGACACAGTTTGTTGCTCCTTCATTTCCTTATCATTATTTCTTGAGTGAGTCCAATCCCAAATGTTGATACAAAGATTTAGTTAGCTGGGGATATCGAATAGTTTAGGGGACCTAATCTTAATAGCTCTCTTCTACAAACTTACGGAACTTTAATAAATGTAAATAAGCTATTTTAAATTTTTACGGAATTGCACCAGTTTTCCCATTCTTCTTTTTTTATCGTAGGCGGGTGATGAGGCCCACGGGGTACTTTGGGCAGAGCCCCGCCAGTGCTTTGTTTTAAGCATTAAATTATGATTTTAGAAAATTTTCAAAAATTTAACATATTTGAATTTACCCAACCCTAATCAAGATACTTCCACAAGAAAAAAGAAAAAGGGAATTTATTAATATAGGCTCTATGAAGAGGAATATTTAAAAATTGTATCAGGAGTTCAAATAAACAGTTATGGCGGAGCCCAATATTTTCCTCTGCGCCCATTTACAAAAAATAAAAGGTATAGATCGATACCGTTACTTTTTGTATCGCGCGCGTCTGGTATATAGGTCATTATTTATTGTGTTTATAATATAAATTAAAAACTAAACAATTCAGAAAAGCGCGAACAGTAATCAACCATCCTCGTTTCACCACAAAGAAACCATTCCTAAACCTCACTTCTACGATTCCATCGATACTCTGGACTGCTCGAATCCGCCAAATAAACGCTCAAGAGAGCCTCAAACAGCTAATAGCGTTCCGGACGATTCGGCACAAGGTATACACACGAATGTAGCATATTTTTTTTTATCTCAAAATAAATGAATATTATGTGAATTTATAAGATCTTTCCGGGAATAATTTCTGCTTTATAATGAGAGCTGAGAACTTCAAAATTGAGTTCTCGACTCAGTTGCGAAGGAATCTGATTCCAAACTCTTAAAATGTGGTCATAAAATAATCGTAGTGATACTTGCCGAATCCAAGGATGAAATGAAAGAAAGATCAGTGAGTTGGATAAATATCCTAGAAAAGCACGGACTAAAAGTAAATAGAGAAAAGACGGAGTATATGGTGATAGGAGGAGATGAAACAGAGAGTATTGATATAAATGAATGGCAGATATCGGCAATTGAAAGCTGCAAATATTTGGGCTCCACTATACAAACTAACGGCACAATAGAAAAAGAGATAAGGAGTAAAATTAAAGGGTGGTTAAAGTGGAGATCTTTATCTGGAGTGCTATTTGACAAAAGAATCCCACACAAATTAAAGGGAAAAATTTACAGTTCCATAGTACAACCAACTATTCTATATAGTTCGGAATCATGGCCAACCAAAGAATCAGACGAGAGAAGTCTACAAACTATGGAGATGAGAATGCTGGGGTAACAAGAAAGGATAAAGTGCGCAGTACAAGAATACTAAGTAGTTTAAAGGTAGTGCCCATTAATAAGTTAATGGTAAACAGACTTAGATGGTATGGGCACACAATGAGAAGGCCTATGAACTACATAGGAAATAAGGTTGAGAGTTTGGAAGTGTTGGGCAAACGTAAAAGAGGAAGGCCAAAACTTCAATGGGGCCATAAAGTTAGAGCCAATATAAAGAAGTATAAATTAGATAAAAGAGATAGCACAAATAACATATGGTGGAGAGAGATGTTGAAGGAGCTTACCACCAGAAAAGGTGAAAGCTAAAGAGAAAAAAAAAATAATCGAAAAAAATCCCTCTAAGAATGAATCACGCAAAATTTTGAACCAATATTTGTAAATTTGCTTCATTACCATAATTCCACAATTTGTTTTGTGGAATCGTTTTTTCAGTCCCAGTTTCCCAAAATTATAAAATTGGTTCCCGATGAACATATGTTGCGGTTCAAAATGCCGATATAAATTATTCGATTAAACATATGTGCTATTTAATTATTCAATAAAATTAATTTGAAATTGGATGTTTTTTTTAAAAAAAACTAAGGTTCGATCAAGAGAAAGCGTAAATCTTGGAAGCACCTGCGAGTCTTTAATCGCCCGCCACCTCCAATCAACAACCATTCCTCCCAAGAGAACAACGATATAAACGGTATTATACGTTCCCACCCTCGTTCACATTTATGCTCCTTTAATTAACATTTTGTTTTATTTCTATCTGTATTTCGAATTTGCATTTTAATATTTGAATAATATAATATCAAAAAAAAATACGATATTAAATGCAAAATTATGTAAAAATGGGTGAAGGGAGAGGGTGGGTGGGGGTGATAAATCATTCTTTGGAGATTCGTATTTTATGGGCCAAAGTTTTTTTTAAAAAAGAGAGGTGTTGAAGGGAAAATTTTTATAGGTGGATGTGGCAATTGGAGTAAAAATGAAGTTTTCCAAAGTTTTATATTTATTTATCTTTTTGGCCTTAATAACAAGACCTTTCTAATTGGGTTCGGGTTGGTGATGTTACGGATTCTCCACGTTTTGTTCGAGAAATCTTCAGAGAACTAAATTTTAAGCAAAGATTTGAATGAGCAAAAATGATTGCTTGAAATATTTTCTGATACCTAAAGATTTATTTGAAATTTTTTTTTTTACAAAATATTGTTAGCGGATTTAAGCAACATTTGATCATCTTGCTTAGCAAAAAAGTTTTGATTTTGGGGAAATTTTCGAGCGAGAAGGAGTCATTCTATGACACTATAATAGATTTACTCAGATCTAAGTGCAGTGTAAGATTAAATGGTTGAGCTATCACCAGGAAATCACCCCTTCCCTTTCACTCCCTTATCCAAAGTATTTCTATTTTTGGTGTAAAAAAAACAAAGTACAAAAATGGCTTATGAAACCTAGATTTTAATTTTATGACCGCGCCCTATCTTGTCTTAATTCTTATTCTTATTCTATTTTGAACTTTGGTTTTATTATTTAGCGTTTCGTCTGTCCTCTTTCAAACTCATAGTACCCTTTTTCCATGAACAACATAGTACTTATTCTTTTTATTTTTTGTCTAATAATCTCATTCTATTTATACAGTTGCAATTTGTGACACGATTTGTGTCAATAAAAGTCATATCTTCGACAGGATTTAATATATATTTTTTCATAAAAAATCAAAGCAATTTTCTTCTTCTTCTAGATATCAATATAAAGGTATTATGCAAACACGAAATTTTACCTAATCATATTTTCTATGGAGGGGGTTTTAGCCCCCCCCCCTCTCACATACCTTGTCTACAACACTGGATCTATCAGATGTCTCACACTGCACAATAGCAGAATTATTTTTCTTTTATTCAAAATATGTTCATAAAATTAAATACAACACTGCCATCGTGCTGGTCGCGATTACTTAGTTAGTCAAAGCGTATACTTTCTGATCACCGCATAAGACTTGGGGAATAATAATGCAGAAATGATATTAAAATGTGACAAAAAATAAATTAAAAATGTATAAATTTTACAGTCACATTTTTATATCAATTTTTTTTTCTTTTACATATTTGATATCTTAAATGTTAATTTTGTGAATATTGATTATGTGTAAAAAAGTAACGTAAAGGTATTGAAGCTATTTTAAAAATTAGATAATAACACACTACTTTTTTGAAAAATAGAGATATACCTTATTTTTTTATACCAAAGCGTTAGCTATAGGACGTTACTTTCAAAACTAACGTTAAACTTTGATTAAGAACGGCATAGGGGGAGGGGGGGGGGTGAAGATTAGCTTCAACAAAACCTGGACTAACTTATTAGATAATCCTGGGTTGCTTGAAGGGATAGTGAGTATATCCGCCGATCATCAATTCAAATATCATTCTCACCGATATTTCAACCACCTCCTGTAAAACCTAAATTAAGTCGAAATCAAGAAAATTAACCTTTTCAGTGTAGGCTTAACGAGAGCTAACCGATACTTTTACCTAAAAACTTCACTTTGTATTTATAATAGGGTTTATTAATCATTTGAAGTATAACTTTTTTTTTTTAAAAAACCGCAAGCTGGCGACGGAACCATAAAAGACGAAACTGGCGATGATATTAACGGTAGCGAATCTCTGGCCAATTCCACGGCTAATGGTTGTTATTCCTGCGATCAATGCGACAAAGCTTTCAGCAAGCAAAGTTCCTTGGCTAGGCACAAATATGAACATTCTGGTAAATTGGGAATCTATTTTTTTTTTATAGATTTTTAAAAAATATCCCCACTTACTCCCGATCTTTTACTCTCCATTTTCGTTTTAGAGCTGTTCTTACTAAATTCCTGTCTGCAAACGATCCCCATTTAATCCAGTTTTTCAAACTTTTGATCACGTGTTACGTAAATTATGTATATATTGTTTTCTTTTACTCCACAAAATAGGAACGAGACCCTACGCTTGTACCATATGTTACAAGGCCTTCAAACACAAGCACCATTTAACCGAACATAATCGACTTCACAGCGGGGAAAAGCCTTACCAATGCTCCAAATGCCTCAAAAGATTTTCCCATTCAGGCTCCTACAGCCAGCACATGAATCATCGGTACAATTATTGCAAACCATACAGAAACGCTACTAGTTTTTAATAAAAAATGACCCCCCCCCCCATCCTCTATTCCCAATTATCTTCTCGCGTATCCATCCCCACCCCTCTTCTTTACGTCGAGAAGATCTGTGCAATATTTATTTTACCCATCTCCCACTATATTGGTTATATTATGGATGGTTTCCAATATGATTTATTACGAGAACCTTCTATAACCCTCGCGAGCGAAAATATTCAATCAAAACAATAATCGATGGACTTTTAAACTCATTATTTAAGTTTGAATCGCAATAAGAAACCGTATGATTTATATTTATCTATATATAAAAAATTTTTTTTAAAAAAAGAGAAATGTTATTATTAATTACATTTAATATTTTATATAAATATAATTATCTTATATTATAGTCTTTTAATAAAAAAACAACAACAAAATCACCAAAGTCTTCCACCAAAAAAAAATAAAATTTATATATATATATTATAAAATGTAAAAAATATTAATTTAATTTAATTTTTTTTAAATAAAAATATTTTTATTTTAATGGTCATTTTTCTCTCCCAATTTATGTCTCATTTTTATGTTTTTTTTTAAAATAATATATTTTAAGTTATTACGCGATTATCTTATTTTTCTCTTACAAATAATTGGCCATCTTGTCCACCCTATTAAAAAATTTTTCAATTTTTTTTTTGTATATAAAATGTCCATCTATCTTTAAAAGAAAGAATTTTTTTTTAGACAATCTTCCCTCAATAATAAATTACTTATCATTTATTTATCCTTAAATTTTAAATGTGTTTAAAAAAATATAAAATATTTACTCCCTATACTCTTTATTTTAACACTTTCCCGCCCGCACCCCTCCAACTAATACCGCTGGCAAAAAAGGACGTATTAAAGAATCGGAGTTTGAAACCGGAAATAAAAAAAGGGGGTTTTCGTTTCTCAATATTTGCCAAAAATGCGGTTCCCATCTTCCAGTTTAGATTTGTCCCTTGTTCCAAACTCTTAAAATCTTTGTTCGATGCTCTCTTGGAAGATGGAAATCTCTTTCCCAAAAATCTCATCTAAAAAAAATATTGTTTTTGCAATATTAAATTATTATATTATATTATATTTTATTTTTTTTTGTTTAAAACAAACATTCTCGTTTATCAACATGGCTTAATAAATTTCCTACCCATTGTTGAGTCCGTTATACCCCGTGCAATCATTTGCTAAAAATTTATAATCATTTATTTTTATATTTTTAAAACTCATCCCTTTTCATTTTTTAAAAAAAAAAAAAAATTGTAAATATTATTTATGAAATTAAATTATATTTTTATTTTTTTGTAAAAATTAATAAATTAAATTTTATAAAAAATTTGTAAAACAATGAAGATCGGCCCTTCTTTATTGAAAATTCGTTAAAAATAATAAAGATATTTAAAATATCGGTAGCTTCTAGCTTCCAGAAGTGTAAAATATTCGTTTGTATTTTTATTAAATAAAATAATTTTCCGCGTAAGATGCAGAGAGACTAGCGTTAAACGGTTTGATTTAGCCAATTTTATATTAAGATTTTGGTCAACATAGTATTACACAACCCTTAAGATCTCTTAGTAGATGTCTAAGCCGCCCTTTAATCTATGAGCAAAATCTCCGTGCTCTCATAATATCATTTGGCTAATATATTAGTTAGCCGTTTTTAAAAAATCGAGGCATTTAGCACTTACAGGAAACACTGTACTTAGAATCGGATCGGCACCACTTTTTAGCGTTTTAAGAATGGCCCGATTATCTGAAAGACCGGTAAATGTATTATAATCAGCTGTTCTACTTTCCCCCTAAGTCACTGACAATGTTATTGGCTAAAAATGGTTACTTTATCGCCTAAGAAACATCCCCCCCCCCTCTTCAAAAGATTAATTTTTATCCTCAACTATTCAATTAATAGGATAATTTGTCCTGGACAAATTTTTTGTTGCCTGGCATTGAAGGAAACAGTCGAAAATAAAAATTCAACGAGGCAATTAAATTAAAAATAAACAAATAATTTGAAAATTCTGTACATTTTGCCCAATGACATATAATAATACCTAGACTGACGATGCATTCTTTAAAAGTGTACATCAATGAAAACAGCTGGGGACGCCATTTTAGTTGCCCATACCATTATTAAAATTTTAAACGAGAGACCAATTTATTCCTATGTCTTAGGCAAACTTTATTAAAGAGTTGCCTGACCATCGAGACAATGAAGCGAGTTATCAATTTATTAGTAGTTTTTAACATGAGAATAATTAGTATAAAAATTACCAAAATGGCGGGTTCAGCTGATTTGCGTACAACGACGCTTCCAAATACATTATTATGAATGCATCGTCAGTCTAAGTATTATTATATGTCATTGATTTTGCCCTACATCTATAAGAATCGAGGAGGGAGGGGTGCAATATATAATTTAGCAATGCGCCTAAACTTTACTGACGATTCTGCTTCGTGTTCTCCCCTTACTCTTTCTAGTAGTATAAGCAAGCTAATTAGAATCATTTTTACATTATATATACATATAAGATTTGTAAAATTGACTTAAAATTAATATGTCTAGTATAGGTAAATGTTGTGAGTAGTGTGCTGTGCATGTCTTATGATAAAGTTTTGGATTCTCAATTTTAAATAATTTATTGAGGACGATTCTTGAATTCGACAATTTGATTTTACCGGAAATGCATTCTAACATGTATATACTATATAGTAGTTACCTAACCCAAATTTTAAATACACCATAAACTCTTAAACTAATAATTTTACATAGACTTAATTAGACTATGCTGTAATACATTTCTGGCAAAATTATAATTTTTTTTTTCAAAATCTAATAGACGATCAGCTTAGTAGATGATTTAAAATAGAGAGATTCTGAATTCCAAATCTATGGAATTTATGAGGATTCGATGCTTATCTGATATGTGTTTGTAAGCATCTATATGAAAGAGCCGGGGAAGAGGAGGGGGGGGGGGGTGTAGGAGTGATTTTGCCACTAATTTTTTTTTGAATGGGGAGGGGTAGGGTAAAGCAAAAATAAAATCTAATTTTATAATAGATAGTTATTTCGATCATAAATGGTTAATTAAATTTTGAATCATTCCTTCCCAAATTTGAATTTATACACAGGTTCGGGGTTTAATTTCGAGAATACGGTTTGTGACAACTATTGATTATCTGAGACAAATGTCGATTTGTTATTCCTAACCTAAACCTGTTTATTGAAAGAGATTTAATTAGAATCTTGTTGGAAGATTATAAATGGAGGCACATTTATGAGATTTTTCAAAAATTATAACCACCTAATTATGGCATAACTAGGGGTAGATTATGGAAGGGGGGAGGGTTCCTCCAACAAATTTTCTGTCACGCAGACGCTGGTCAGAGTAACTACCTTCCGAATTTCCCAATAATTTTGCCATGAAATTTCTTAATCTTAAAAAATCAATAAACAAAATTAGTGTTCTACACACAATATTGAAATATATTTCTGCTCAAAATAGGATTCTTTTAAATTAACAAAAATCACCATTAGTAAATGATACTTATGTTTCTAATCCCCATCTACACGCAATCGGATACATATTATCAGGTCCGACCCTATCCAAGAGAAGTAAATAAATTTGTAGTTATTCTTCGAAATAATATTCAATATAAGATTAGGAAAATATAAAATTATTTAAAAATTTTTGGTTAGAGGTACAAAATATAATATTTAAAAATTCGAAAGAGTGTCTGAGAAAATGTCTATCCAAACCTGACCGAATACAGTTCTAACGTGTTTGCCCGTGCATGGCTTTAAAATTATATATATGACGTATTGGGATCAATGATATATAATAATACCTAGACTGACGATGCATTCATAATAATGCATGAAAGCGTCGTTGAATGCGAATCAGCTGGACCCGCCACTTTGGTAACCCATATATAGTAATTATTCTCATGTTAAAAACTATTATTAAATTGATAACCTGCTTCCTTATTATCTCGATGATTAGGCAATCTTTAATTAAAGTTAGCCTCAGAGATAGGAATAAATTCGCCTTTCGTTTAATTATTTTTATAATGATATGGATTAATGAAAATGGCATCCCCAGCTGTTTTCATTGATGTACACTTCTAATGAATGCATCGTCAGTCTAGGTATACGTCATTGATTGGGGTATGGAATCCACGGAGAATTCGTAATCTTTCAAATTTCTTTTCTATCATTTTTTTTTTGTAAATTTGACAAATATGATTTGACTGGGAAATTAATCTAGACATATGTGAATTACTAAATCAAAGAAATGATTATTATCCTTTTTTCGGAGATCGAGTGATTTCTAGATTCAATATAATTCCTTAGATTTTCCGACAATCCAACGTTTAATTTCTTGCGTTAGTTTAGTTATCTTTGGAGCATTTTTCAACTCTTCATTGATATTCACCCGGATGTTTATAACTAGAACGCAAATGGAAATAATAAATAGGGCAAGGGAAAACGCAAGATAAGGGAACGGGAATAAAATATAAGGAACATCCCCCCCCCCCCCCATTTCCGGGCCTCCAATAAAAAATACATAGTTTTTTTTTAAAGAAAGAAGTTTACTAATAAGATAATTTTTCCTGCGAATGTTTTGTTTCTCAAAGTTCTCATAAAGTAACTCTTAGTGGTATCCTTATAATGTACAAAAAAATTAACAAAAGGGATTGGTAATGACAGGAAAGTTCAAAAAAATTAAATTTAATAGGGTATAAGCAGGGATTCGAACCAAACCTGGAGAAGAAAACCCGGGTTTTTGAAAAAAATCTGAACCTGAACCTAAACAGAACCCCGTTCATAAAATTTTCAAAACCCCGAACTGAACCCAGGAATTTTATTTGAACCCGGGTGTATTGTTTAAAATCATGTATTAAGATGATTTGTATAATTGTAAATACAAATATTAATAATTTAATTGAGATTCAAATTTTTAATAAAGTGAAGTGTTAATAAATTTTAAACAACTTAATTCATTTACGCCATTTTTAAATTTTTTCTCAAAGATTCCTATTGGAGTGTTAATAAATTTTAAACAATTAAGATCATTTACGCCATTTATTTTTAATTTTTTAACTTATTCTTCACATATTATTAATTTGAGGAAAATGAAAGTGAACAAGTCAAAGTAAAAATTATTATATTGGATATTGTAAATTTAAAAAATTTTCAAAATTTAACTTAAAATTTTTTTAAAAAAAAAATGTAAGGCAAGTTTTTGTAAACTTTTTTATTTTTAAACTATATTTTGCCTATTAATAAAAACCAAATTTTTGATCTAGTTTTTTTTTTAAATTATGATTTAAATATACAAATTTTTTCTATCAATTCAAAAATTCTTAAACCCGAGCCGAACCCGTAACCAAACCCGGGTTCATAAATATTTCCCTGAACCGAACCCGAACCGACCTATTTTTTTTACCTTAAACAAAACTCGGGCAAGAATTTTGCTAGGTTCGCATCCCTGGGTATAGGTACTATCATTATAATTATTATACTATCGAAATCTTAGCCCATTTAAGGGGCCAATTCTGATTATAGTGTTTAAGCGAAACAGCTGTTTTTAAAAAGTGACGATCCCCCAAATAGAATTCTAGTCAGATCCTGCTGCATACTATGTTAGAACTTGCATAATTTTCTTTTCTTCTTCACAGATGAAACTTGGAAGAATAAACATCTCACATATTCTAGAAGCTACAGGATAAACGCGAATTTCTGTGACCAATCTATTTGACTTTATTCATTTTTAATCAAGCGCAGTATATAAATAGTTATAATAATTGTATAGTAGACCTTTAAATTGGTTTGTAAAATATTGATATCGGAGATACTATAAAATAAATAATATTGTGTGCTCATATCCCGCATATCATAAAAAGCAATGACTGACGACATACAACACCTAACTAAACTGATAATTTTAAATCAATGAATCATCTGGTGACGCCATTTTGATTTTCTCGCACGAATTTTTTTCATAAAATATAAATTAATTTACACGTGGGGAAAACCAAAAATTAGCGTTATCAGTTGATTGCGCATTGATACACCTTTAAATGAATGAATGATCAGTTTAGGTAGTGCCGTTACATAATGCCCATCGTATAATTTAGATTAATAAAAAAATTTATCAAATATTTTTTGATTTTTATATAATAAGTAAGTTTATTATAGAATTATAAAAATTATTATATCTCCTCTATTAAAATAATTTTTTTTTTAAAAAACATAAATTTGATTTGAGTTTTTTAAAGATGTGTTTTTCATATATTTGTTAGTATATATAAATATATATATATTTTTTTTAGAGATTTCAAAAAAAAAAAAAAATTAAGGGGAAATGATTAAACTACTTTATATTAATTTATAAAGTTTTTAAAACTATGTGATTTAAATATATATTTTAGAATATTTTGGACTTATAAGATTTTCCTTCAGGAATTGCATTTATAATAATAATAAAAAAAATATATTTCACAAAAATATAAATAATTATTGGTAGGAAATTTGGTGAATATAATATGATATAAAATGGAGGGCAAAAAATAAAGGTAATATTATCCGACTTGTTTGTTTGTTAAAAAAAAACCGATTTTAAATAATCTTGTCCAACTATGGATCGATAAAATTAAGAAATCAAATAATCATCATGTAGCGTAACGCATACAGCTGATAAATTTTCTCTCTTTTTAAAGCACCATCAATCATTCGACGTATTTAGAGGCGGAATGGGCCGAGCTGCAGGAACCAATGGAAGCACTCCGGCTCCTGCTGCGTATTACGACGCCCAAACTATTTTGGTCGCTGCTAGGATCTACGCTACCTTTGCTCGGGTTGGCGACGTCTTCCGAATTTTTCTTGCCCAAGAAAGATATCAAGGGAAACATCCTATTCTTAGGCACGGAAGAGGAGGCTATAGGAGTAGAACAGGAGGAGGATTCGATTTCCACTATAAGATCGCTCTTGCATTTTGGGCAGATTTTTTGGGCCGGGTCTGACTCGAAATGCTTGAGCTTGTAAGGATTCATGGCTTAATTTATAAAATTTTTGATTTTATTAATAAACTTATACAAAAAATTTTTTTTTTTTTTAAAAAAAACGCATTTTGAGGGACCGGACCGGTTCTTAGAAACTGCTCGATCCCACTAAGTTATATAGAAAAATCGGTTTTACTCGGGTTCGGGGAAAACTTTTCGTGGGTTCGGTTGTACGGTCTTAACCGAACCGCTGATTTTTGCTAGTTCGTAAGGTGCGATTACGAATCGTAAATCAAAAATAAACAGATACGCGACACCAAATTATATAAATATTAAATTGTTAAATAACGCTTCGGCTTCTATCGTAAAATTTTTATGTACGCATGTTAAAAAGACCTAATATAAAACGACCGAATTAGGATCGGTTGGACCCAATTACATATAAAGGATACCTAAACTGACGATGCCTTCATTAAAAGTGCGCATCAATGAAAACAGCTGGAGATGCCATTTTGATTACCCATATCTTCATTAAAAATTTTAAAACGAGAGGCCAATTTATTAAACTTTATTAAAGAAATGCCTGATCATCGAGATAATAAGGAAGAAAGTTATCAATTTAATGATAATTTTTAACACGAGAATTATTACCTATATGGGTTACCAAAATGGCGGGTCCAGCTGATTTGCATTCAAAGATGCTTTCAAATGCATTATTGTGAATGCATCGTCAGTCTAATTATTATTACATGTCGTTGGTTAGACTAAATTATTCTTTTATTTCGATAAGTAGTGTTAGCGAATATATAAAACAGCGAAATAATTTGATTCAAAAATTCAATTCAAATAACGAATAATAGAATTCGTCGAATCTTTCGCTATTCGATAGAATTTTTGCACTATTTAGTATTTATTCAATATATTCCTTGTAGAACTTTTAATTTATCAAAAATTTACTTCCACATTTATTAATCATAAAAAAAACCTAATAAATTCATTTTTCTTCTCATTTTTGAAAATATTTTTTATAAAAATGTTAATTTTGAAAATCAAATCTCTCGGATTTGGTAGGGCTGATTTTAGACAGAATGTGCTTGGGCTGAGGTCTGCAATCACTGGAGTTAAATCCGAGTGACCACCCGCCCATTGTTTTATTAGAAAATTTAACCCGCTTTCGCTAGTCAATGGCTTTTTTTTTAAAAAAAATTCCCTTGGCCAATCTACTCTAAAAAATTTTGTTTGATCTCCCATACCTTAATTGTTTAAAAAAAATTTTTTTTATTAATTGTACTGGTTTCTTTAATTATTTCATTTTAATGTATTTTTTTATTTTAAACTTATAAAATATGAAATATTATTGAAATAATAAAAAAAAAATTGATTTTATTTCGCCCGAAAAAATATTTCAAATTCACCAGCTCGTTAAAAAATATTTTTAGCCCTTTGGCCCATCCGTAAAATGGGCGGGCAGGGCTAAAAATCCGCCAATTGCAGACCCCGAGATCAGACTCTGGCCCGATTTAAATAAGTATCAAGCACGAACCCGGCCGAAATTTCTAAGTCCTAGGTCCGATTTGCTGAGCTATGATTCCAAGCAGAGTTGTTAAAGATTTTTTAAATGGATCTAGATATAGATACATCGTCTAAAATAATATCTAGATACAGATTTAGATATTTTAATCAAAAATCTATCTAGATACAGATACCACATTTTTATATCAAGATACAGGATCTAGGTACTTGTATCTAGATCCTTTAACAACTCTGATTCCAATTATTAAAAATATCGTAAATACGAATGTAAAAATATTTCAATGGCTTTTAAATTTCTCTAACTCGTAAACTCTCGCGGCTTTAAACGTTTGTGGGAGCATTTGAGACACTGAAGATACGTAACAGCTGATTCGTCTTTATCTATAGAATAGGATTCGTATCTGGAGTGGTTGGCACTGCGCGACGGTTTGACATATTTTTCGAGCAAGCGCAAAAGAGACTTCAAATTTTTACAAGGAAAGGGGGGGGGGAATATATTTACGATTTGATAATTTTATATTTAAAATAAATATATATAACATATTTCGTATAACTATCTTTATTTCAAGATTAATTTAATTTAACCATATATAACGAATGTGATACAGTAAATATTTATATTTGTGAATCACATAACTCCGTGATTATATTTACGGCACTAGATTAATTATATATTATCATCTCTTAATTAAAAAAAAAATAATCAAGAAGTTTTGGCATCTGAACAAAGTTCTGTTCATATTCCCTGGATAATTTCATTAAGAACTTTTTCGTGCCTAAATTTTTACTGACATAAATTTATATATGATGAAATGCTCAAATGTTAAGTTCTAAGCCTATAGAAAATTGTCATCTGCTTATTTTTTTCTTCTTATTTAAGTAGGTTCCATTGTATGTCTATATTATCGAGAAATTATTTGGCCATTCAATCAACTGTCAGTTTCTTGTGAACAATTATTTCCCAAAAGCAGTGACGACAGTAAAAAAAAGAAGAAGAGATATATAGATTATCAAGCAAGATGACACTTTCTATCATTGTATACTGGGCCATGGCTTAAGATGGAATATATAAGGATAAAAAACTTTAAATCTAATCTTAAGATCTCTGAGAATCGGCTCCAGACCCAAGCGATTTCTTAATTATGACCAGCTTTAGGAAGTCCTAAAAACCGTAATTATAAACAATTGCAAAAGGAAAGGGAAAGGGAAACAAGAATGATTATTGATAATAAAACTTGACAAGAAGCTTCGCTCTCCAATATGTAAATTCTCCTCTTCGTGTCAGAACCTCGACCTGAACCGAATCTAATGCTGACAAGATTTACTGCTGGATGATTATTTAGGACATTGGGAGAGTCATCGATACCAAAATTGGTCTTCGTGAAGAGTGATTTATCGATTTGGGAAAAGGAGGAAATGAGTTTAAGGTCGAAATTATTGATTGGCTTTCCATCGTTACCCGTTTCCCTGATAAATAAAAATCGATATATAATTTAAAAAAAAAAATCCAAAAATATTTATGGGATTGATTAATTTTTTTCAGGATTTAGATCCTGTCCCCTTTATTCCCGGTGGTTTTGGATAAATTATTCGAAAAATAAACTTTCAAATTATTTATAACTAGAGGGTGTAAAGATATCACCTTTTAAGAGGCCGATTCGATTCGATAATTATATTGATGTCGGCCGATTACCGATCCGATATCATTTTGTTCCTTACAAATATCGTAGACTCGCACAAGTACTATTTGCATGGCGCAGTCAGCCCCGGGATTTTTAAAAAAAATTTATTATATTTATTTTTAATTTTTGTAGCCAATAATGGCGATCTTAAAATATTTGGTTTTAAAAATTTACGGCCAGGTCCGGGTATTTTACTCGAGTATTTTTTAAAAAAAATTTTTTAGGTTCGGCCCGAGTACCCTGGTCCTGCAGGTATCTGACAAATATTCGATACATTTCAATATTTCAATGTATACTCTTCTACTTTAAAAAGATAATAAATAATATATCAACCATCCATGATTATACCATAACATAAGTCATTTAAAATATAATTATTATCAAATATTATTTTTAGGGTTTATATTAATTTATATTCATAAATCATCGTTTATTTTAATATGGTAAAATCGCCAATATATATTATTTTTGTTTCCAATAATCTTTTTATCATGTAAGAAAGGTAGTATCTCACCCAGAAGCCTTATTTTATATTCAGTGAAATTGTTACAATTTTTTTTTTAAAAAATCCCACTTCAAATTAAGAAAAGTTCTTTAATTTAATAGATATATTTTAGTAACAAATATTTATATCAGGACCTGCAGGTCCGGCCCTAAGACCAGCCCGTATTTTAATTTTTTTTTAAATTAACGCGAAATATTTGAAATCGCCATTATTAGCTGTAAAAAATCAAAAAAATATATTTTAAAAAAAATCCGGGCCGGGCTTGAAAATTTTTTTAAAAACAAAACCGGGCCGGGTCGTAAAAATCCGGACCGGACCGGGGTACAAATGTTACCTCTGCAGGTCTCCGATATCTATATTTAAATAAAAATTAGATATCATGCCGTAAAATTGTTTCAAATTAAAGAAATAAGAAGGCAGACGATAATATAATTTTTCAAAGACAAATCCTTTTTTTTTTCTAGAACGATAAAATGACAACCTCAATTTAAACAAGGGACGCGTTACGTTTTTTTTTTAATTTTAAAAGTGACGGCAAAAGGTAAACGCTAAATTTGTGGGCACAAAATGTAATAGTATACCTAAGATAACGTTCATCGATTGAAAGGAAAGCTGGACGGCTATTAGATTTAAGATCTGATATACTCAGGCAGGGTGGGGATTTAGTATGTCTAGACTTATTGAAGATGTTTGGATCAGAAAATATGTGGATAGGAATAGGTGCTTTTCCGGTTCCTGTTTTAAAGAAAAAATATATAAAAATAATTAGTCATATTACTTACCATAATATATGAACATACTACTGCTTAGTTTTTTTTTTAATATAAAGTTTCAATATCTACTTCGAAGGATAGATGAAAAAAAAAGAAGAGAGATATCCTTATGAAATAAATATATCTTCTTTACCATTTCCTGGAATATTTTCATTTCTCACTAGGTCCTGACACCGAGCATTATCAAGAAAATGTCCTTGCCCTCCAATTCCGTCTTCAGAACTCCCAAATGAGCTCCAAGAACGACTATCACTTTCGACATAATCATTCTGGTTATCATCCTATTTTTAAAAAAAAATTTTTTTATTAAAGGCACGGAAAGATTCAATCTTGAAAATCAATCGTAAAATATTAGTCAGCAAGTATAGTTCGGTAATGATTAAAAATCGACTAATGTCGGCTTGGCACATTATGCTAAAGAAAATCAGCTGAACAATTGTTAGCTATATTTTCAAAAAACCGGGGTTGAGGTGAGTGAAACGGTTAAAAACTAGCCAACCCGGATTAACCCGACTAAAAATCGAGAAACAATAAGACTAAAGTCGGTGGGGAAAACTTTAAGAATTAACGGGTTAACTCACGCTGACATTATCGTAACTTTGGTCTAACGATTTGGAAGGAACAGTCAGGTTCGTAATGTCTACGTAGGTGTCGCTCTCGTCTATTTTCGCGGCGGAGTTATCCCCGAACACCAATCCACCGTTGGCCGAAGATGACTGGTTTAAAGCCGTCTCGAAGGCGCTGGAATTCTGTTTATTTAAAATAATAATAACAAGGAAAAGGGAAACGATAAGAACTACCGCATGTCCGGCCCTAGCAAACGGCTCGATATGAGGCGATTTTTAAAAAAAACGCTCAATATTTTGGCCAGATAAACATTGTCCTCTGAGCCTCGAGATTTCGCTGACAGATCAATTAGCAAAGTGTTCCCAGTAGTGTTGTTAAATTAACTAACTATGACCAAAATCGAATTAATAAGTTGAGTCTCAACTTGAAGATTTGATTCGAATACTTTTGGATAAAAACATGGCGACGCTGTTTTATAGTTGATTAAAGTCAAGTTCCCAGGTTTGAGTAATAAATCCCCGACCCCCCTTCCCCAAAAAAAATTCAGTCGCTCTTGGAGTGGAATCGGTGGTGTTGTTAATACTCCTCATCATCTACCACTTTAAAGGCAGTCGACGAATTTATAGAATTTATTTTATTTTTTTTTAAAATAAATTCGTGAAATATTTTCCCTTTTTATCGATATATTTTTGGATAAATAAAATATCAAGGATGCCATCAGCTGAGTCCGGGCAAAAAGCAGGGGAAAAGGCGGGCTAAAGGCCCGCATAGCTGGTTATGGAGGTGCGATCTTCGCGCAAAAATTACGATAAAAAAAATGTGCCACAATTAAATAACACCGCGACCCGTTCTGGTTCAAAACTATGCGATTAATCAGTTAGAAAAATCACGTGATAGATCATTCCACCGGTCCTGCAAAAAGGGTGCATTCCGAGGAAATCTGGTATATGTGTTTCATTAATTAAACTTCAAAACAATTTTTAAAGTGAACCATAATTGCTAACCGTTTCGTTATGACTCTTGTGGTGACCATCGGTCGACATTTCCAAGGACAAATTGGGATCATTGTTTAAACTTAGTTCGTCGTATTCATCGGATCCCCCTTTTCCTCGAGGGAGTCCAAGAACTTCTGGCATCTCGGGCAACACGTCGTCAAATTCTTCGCACTTTCCCGCGAACTGTCGAGTCCTGGCGAGGCCGTTATAACGGGACCGTAAACCCAACAGGGTAGAACAATTCGAATAGGGGCGAATGATTCCTTCCTTGAAAGAAGAAGCTACCAGAGTGGGATCGGCATGGTCGGACTTGCTCGTTTCTAAAAAAAGAATACATATATAGTGGATTGATCTTGTCCCTAGTTTAGGTCGTGTCGCAAATTAAAATGGAGATAGAATAAAATAATACTGAGAGCCGTTGGCCAGGAAAACCCGTCAAAATTATATTTATTAATCAGTTGGTAGAATCATATGATGGGTAGTGTTTAATATTTCATTTACTGCTCGCAATTTTCAATTTCCCTATACGGGATCTATATATATATATCTGTGAAAACACGTGATACACTCTACAAATACTTCGTGGATGACTGACGTGATAATGAATGAATTTACAAAATACAACCAAAATTATTACAAATTAAAAAGGTAATTCAAAAATTCCGTTTGGCCTAAAATGATCAAATATAAAAATTATGGGTCAAGTCCTTAAAATGGTCTATAAAATAATGGGGGGGGGGGGGAGATTTATATCTGACAGAAATCAATAATTGTAGAATCTATCCATCCAATTTAATTTATTTAAAACGTTAAATATGATGGGGCTAACCGGTATCGAGATCGTGAGATATGTGTCTCACGTGGTGCCTACGAGGTTCGCCGTCTTTCAGATCCGCGCGCGATTTAATCGAGCTGGGGAGTGGCGGATTCATGAAAGCGGATATGGCACGGAAATGGGGACTATCGTACAGTGAAAAGGATGGATGATCGGAGTGCGCGGCATCGAATTTGACTATAGGGGAAGATGTTCTCATGAGTTTCGCCAAATCTTCCCTACTAACGGTGATGACGTTGACTAAATTATTTGTATTATGGTAAAAAAAAAAACTAAATTTACGCCTAAATAAGATATCATGAAAGGAAAACAATATTTTGGGGGCGTAAAAGAATCAACGGAAAGCGTAACAAAAGGAAGAAAAAAAATATAGCAAGGTGAGTAAATGGTGTGATATGGAAGAACTTTTGAGAGGAACCAAGTTATAAGCCGAAAGTAATGCTGGTTTCCGTTACGCATTATGCTAAATTTGCTCAGGGCCCGAGTCCAAAATGAATTCGCTGATGCCTTATTTTTACCCCAAGACTTAACCCATATTTCAAACTGTTTATTTTCCGGTTTAAACCTCAAACATTATGAAATCGTCGGCTAACATGAAGCGATTTATCTAACGCTACAATGTAAGGTTCTTGTTATTAAAAAAAAATGAATGAAAGGAAGGAAGGCATAATGGGAAGCGAAGGTACGAAAAAATAAGGGGGAAAAATTAATCCCCCCCATCATCTCCCGAAAAAAAATTCACTTGGTTTTGGAGTGGAATTGGCGGTGTTATTAATACTCCTAAACGCGGCGCTCTCGTCTTCCGACCTTAAAGCGGTATCGACCACGCTCAAATGGCACAAGGAGTTCTCGCAACTTTGCTCGGAGATCTCCCTGACCGAAGGTCTTTTAGCCCGTATTTTTAGCGGTTGTTTTACCTTTTAAATTAATGTTTTATCAACAATTTTTTAAATGATAATTTTTGGTATTTTTTTTGAAGGGGGGGGGGGGGTTGGAAAGGGAAGGGAGTAAAAAATATGCCGGAAGCTAAGGTTACATACATTCATAGTGTAATCCAGCCCGGCATGATTCAACAGCTGATCAATTTTTGAAAAATCTGTTTTTTTTTGAGATCAATATTTCTTTATCAAAAATTAAAAATTTAATCATTATTTAACACCCCAACTGCTTCGAGTTCGAGGCGTCACGTGTATGAACGATGTTCTAGCGACAACGGGTGACTTTGACACCCGCCAGAGGAGAGGACCAATAGAACGCTAGGAAAATTGCGCGGTTGATTCACTACCCCCATGGCGAATGGCTAAGGTCGGTCGAACCCAGAGCGGCTAGGAAAACCGATAACGTTGCGAAACCGAATAAATAAAATTGAAGGAAAGAAAATCTTTCATTTCGATTTTAATAAATCACCTTGTTGGAAGGGGTCGTCGTAATTATTTGAGGAGCGGGTACATAAACTTCGGCCGTTATGACCGGTATGGATTTACGTATGAAGGATCGTTTAATCTTCGAATTTTATTTTTTTCAAATAAAATAAATGGAAGGAAATAAAAATAAATGGAAGGAAATAAAAATATTTTAATCACTCATAAAGGATACATATGGCTAATGATAGTCACCACTACCTTAAGGTATTACCTTATCAAAGTTGTAATTTTGTTTATTTTCATTTGGATAGGAACTACCAAAATTTATTATATAATATATATTTGAAAAATCGTGATTTTTGGGAAAGTCTCTATGGCCTGGTCGGCAAGAGCATCGCTTACCAATCCGATGGTTATTGTGGGTTCGAATCCCAGCAATGATCATGTTTTTTTTCTTCTTAATCTAACTTGGTGATTCCATCCTTGGGATGGTGGAGGGGGGGGGGTGGGTGATAAATAGGAGAGGCCGAACTCGACCACGTGATTCCGTTATAATATATATGTTAAACAATAAGGGTCTTATTATTACATTTTAATAAATTTTGGTCGGTATTTAGAAAATTGCTATACGTTGACTTGGCAGTGACTATCATTATAAAGATTGGACAATAGTCATTAAGTAAAATGATAGGGCTGTGTCGACCACAATTTTTTTTAAACAGATCCTAATCCTATATTCATATAAAACTAATCTGATAACCCTTAAATGTTTAGATTGATTCTTATTTGCCAAAGTTGTTGAAATACTTTTCAAAAGTATCTAAATATAGTTACAATTTTTATTACATTTATACATATATATACATAAGGCGCTTTTTCGAAGTTGTGGTATTGGACTTTAAATGATATTAATTTTAAATTTAAAACAAGATTTTAAATAATTAACTACAAAAATAAAACTAAAATCAATTTTCAACTTTATTTAAGAAAAAATAAATAAAAAAACAAAAAATGAAAATTTCTTTTATATTAAAAAAAAAGTAATATTATTATTATTATATCGATTAAAAGTTTAAAAAACAATAATGAATTTTATTTTGTAATTCTTTTGTATATATATATGAGTGCTGTGAAATAACGTCAAAAAAGTAATAACGCGTTCAATTTTTCAGATGTAACGAGTAACTGTAACGCGTTTCTTTTTTTGTAGTAACGTTTACAGCACTAATATATATACATTTATATAATTATCAATTTTAACTTCTTAATAGTATCCAATTTGTGATTACCCTCGATAAATATAATATTAAAATGTAGGAAAAGTTATAAATATTGTATTACAAATATAATATTATCTTTTTATAAAATAACTAGTAGATAGCCCGTCAAAAATGACGGGGAATGAAAATTTTCTTCTTACTTTTATGCATGTTACTTGTTATTTGAAAATAATATCCAATTTTTATTCTTCTTACCCCCTCATCCCTTCAGGCCAGGTTTAATCCATTAAAACTAAGTGCTATGGTTTGAGTAAAAATAAATTTAAAGCATTTACTTGATAATACCAATATTATTTGTTAAATATTACTGATTACTTATACCTAATATTTAATATTAAAAAAATTCCCAGGCAAAGTCCAAAGCCATAATAATTATGAAAAATTCTTCCAAGCTCAATGAAAGATCATAATAATTTTGGTAGTTAAGAACTGAAATAAAATATTTAAATAATCATAATGAATTTAAAAATACAATCAAAATTAAGATTTTCATGGGCCTTGGTTTTTTGATCAGGTCAAGCCCAGGCCTGCAAAAAAATTTGTTTTGGGCCAATGTCTGACCTATAATTAATAATAAAAAAATTCTGAAGCGTCCAAGCTCATAATAATTTTGAAATATTTTCCCCAAGTCCAGCCCAATATAATTTATAAAAATATTTTCCAAGCCCAGCCCAACCCATAATAATTTTATAAAAAAAAATTTTAAAACCTGACCAACCGATAGTAATTTAAAATTTTTTTCCAAGATAGGTAAATCTCTAAAAACCATATCTATTTTTTAGTCTATTTTAACCCAGCTCACCCCAACCAAGGCCAACCCATTAAGACTAAGAGTAAATACTATTTTTTTGAATAAAAATATATTTAAATTAGATTTTATCTGAGGGCCATATAAATATTCTGTGTTAAATATTACAATTAGATAGTTGAGGACTGAAATAAAATATATAAAAAGTCACAATACATTTAAAGTTTTTTAAACAAGCCTGGCTATGTCTGCAAAAAAAATTTCAGACAAATTCAAAAATCTTAAAGCACCTCTATTTTAAATTTTATCCAATATGATTTCCATCACATTTTTAAATTTTGATATTTCTAATACATGCTCACAGTATACATTGCAACAATTTTACCTCTTTTACTCTTAAATTTTAATATTTATATAAAATTTATTAATAAAGTATATTTAATACCATACACACAAACTAAATAATTACGCTTCAACCCATGGTTTTTTGATCAGGCCTGGCTATGTCTGCAAAAAAAACAGACCAATCTATAACCCATAATTAAAATTCAAAAATCTTAAAGCACCTCTATTTTAAATTTTATTCAATATGATTTCCATCACATTCTTAAATTTTGATATTTCTAATACATGCTCACAGTATACATTGCAACAATTTTACCTCTTTTACTCTTAAATTTTAATATTTATATAAAATTTATTAATAAAGTATATTTAATACCATACACACAAACTAAATAATTACCCTTCAACATCTATACAATTAATATTTTAAATTTAATTATATTCAAGTTGATGCATGCGTGAAAATTTAATATATATATAATTAATATTTTAAATTTATTTATATTCAATTGGTGCATGCGGTAAAGCATATGCCTTTGAAACGGGAGGCTCGAGTTCGATTCTCGTAGAGAGCAAAAAAATTAACATTACACTATATAGTCTCCTTAAATTTAAAATACATTAGGGAGATACGAAAACGATCGTTATGATTATGGAGATTATATATATTAGATTAATGTTTTTGGATCATTTATAATCTTGTGAGAATGATTTTTTCTGTAAGGGGCAGTAATATAAATATGATTATTTGACCTAACTTAATTACCAGCTCTTAGACTCTCTGAATACCACTGGAACTATAGCAGATAATCAAAACCAGGGAGTTGGTGGTTTTTTTTTTCCATTTTGCATATCCAAATTGTACGAATGATCCATATAAAATAAACCATAAAATTCACATAGTAAAAATCCATCACAACAAGTGCGCAAATGCTTAATTAAGGATTCTACATTGTTTTAAAACGCAAGAAATTCGAAGTGAGTTTAAAAAAAAAAAATCATCTATTGAGTTTAGTGTTGTTAAACGGCTCGTTTTGAGCCGATTTTTTTAAAACAGCTGACTCAATATTTAGGCTAGAAGAATATTGACCTAAGCCTGGAGATTTCGGTAATATTTGTATAGACCTTCGTTCCTTCTAAGAACAAAATCTTCAGGGTTGCGTAACATTTTCTCTGGATGAAATATCGAGTTTGCCGTTTTTTTAAAAATCGGCTCAAAACGAGCCGTTTAACAGACACTAATTGAGTTGGTATCATATCTATATATATAAAAAAAAATACGTGATTAAAATTTAATGACCTGTTGGATTCTAATAATTCATACACCATTTTTTTTTAAAATCGGAAAAGAAATTATACACCAACAGATAGAACGTGATGAGGCGCTAGCGAATAATTTCCGCCACGAAAAAGATTACGGGAAGATTACAGATCACGAGCCATCATTCCATTGCGGAAATGGAATCAATCTCGCAATGAAATGAAACATAAAGCTGGTATGACACTATACAGATTGGTTTAGAAAGAATACAATGACTTATGTGGAGGGGGGGGGGAGGACGTACCAATTAACTCCGAGATGATTGCAAAAATAAACTTCGAATGATACGGGAATTGATGGACGTTTAATATGATGACAGTATTGCGTATTTATGAAGAATTGCCTATAATCATTTACACGAAGGACAATTAGGCGCCGGTAAAACAAAATATTTAGAGCAAGTAGAATATACACGTGACGGTCAGGAATAAATAATGATGTTGAATACAGATGTCAAAAGAATGGTAGATAATGTGTTAATATACAGCATCCATGGATGACAACATCAAAGTCCTTGGAGAGGACACGCATTTTCAAATACCGGTTCGATCCGGTTTTAAAAAACCGTAAATATCGGCTCGTCATTCAATTCGATATTTGATATCGACACAACCCTAGTAAATAAATTGCACTGGGGGGAAAAAAGAACAATCATTATTTGTAATAAATTTTCTTTTTAAAGGTAATTATCTTATCCTCCCCCCCCCCTCAACCCTCCTATTCAGGCTATTATACAAGATTATTATTAATAAAAACCGGGTGATTAGGTGAACGGAAATAAGAGATCAGGTGATCTTTCGTCACGATTTCCGTGTCCAAGATGAATTGCCTCACGAGGGCGTCGGCGTGAATATTGGCCGCGACCAATTGGCGATGGCAGGGATGAAGGCATATAGGGTTTCCTGACGTTTTCAACTTTTATTGGGAGAGCAAGAGAAAATGTAGCATATAAATATTTAAAAAATATAATTAAGAAATAGAAAATAGTTTTTTTTTAAAAATTAACCAATTACAATACATTAAATAATACCTAGACTGACGATGCGTTCATTAAAAGTGTTACATCATATGGAAAACAGCTGGGGTCGCCATTTTGATTACATTACCCATATCGTTATTTAGTATAGTTTTTAACATGAGAAATAATTACTATATGGGTTACCAAAATGGCGGGTCCAGCTGATTCGCATTGAACGACGCTTTCATATGCATCGATTATGAATGCATCGTCAGTCTAGGTATTATTATTATACGTCATTGCCCGTAAGTTTAGAAATTATTAGCTCTTATTTTTGAGTGATTGGCCTTCTTCACAAATACGATTAATAATAGATAACAAATTTTTTTTTCGTTATTAATTACAAAAGTAACCCCCCCCCCCCTACCTTATTAATAGTACATTTTAAACTCCATTTAATGCAATGAAAACCGACATATAACTATAGCATCTTCCTTCCTTTCTTTCTTCCTTCCATTCTTTGCATTTTTAAAAGTTTAAAAAAGGGAATCAAAAATCCACTTAGAAAGTTTTAAATTAATCATATCAGCTGACAGACAATTTCTTTTGTTTTCATTTGTGAAAAAAAAAGAAAGAAGAGAAGGTTATAAGGTTTAAAAATAAATTTAAAATTAATGATAACGTTTTTTAAAATTATAACAAACCAAACCGTATTGGGTATAAAAAAAAATCAACTTAATTCCCTTTAATACATCTTTCACGATGCCGAGAGCAGGTTGTGATTTAAATTTTAACCTACGATCTAAATAAAGCATCAAATCTTCCCATTGATTAATATATTTCTGGTCAAGAGGAAGACAACCCCAGCAGTGGTTATAATTTAAATTTTTAATCTACAATCTTAATAGGCACATGTTCCCTTTCCTTCTAACATAAGAATGAAAAATATTTAGACAATTTGTGTAAATAGTTATAATTATTGCTATCATCTCATATTTAAATAAAAACAATAGATTAAACAAACCGTTTTAAAGGTCGCTCGACTATATCTCAGATGGATGTCCTTCTTATATATTTTTTCTTTTCTTTCTTTCCGTCCTTTCTTTCTTTCCTTCTTCCTTTGTGTCACGGCAGTCGATGGCACACGTGGAATGAATGGGCCAATGAAATCTAAATGTACGTAGACTTAGCAAGACTAGAGTGTACTCGCCTTTTTACGGTGATTTATGTCATGACCGATTCTATTTGGAAGGCAAGAGAGTAATCTGAGCAAAACGATATCGTGATATTAGCTGCGAACGCCTACGCCGCTATAACCAATATCGCGATGTCGAATGTCCAGATTACTAGCATCCTCGTCGGGGAGAGAGGGGCATGGTACAAATCACTGTATTCATAAAGACAAGCGTATTTCCGCCTTGCTTACATCTTTTGCCACCTCTCTTCCCATGTCAGCTGTAAGTCATCGAGTGACGGGGGTCACTTATAAATCTATCCCCTATTTAAACTATATATAAATCCCATGATTTACCAATTTCAAATGGGTCGATTGTTTCAAGGGGACCAGCGAGTTGTGGAAACAGATAACGTTGTTCGATACGTCTAAAATGGAGAGTTGAGATAAAACCTGGACTCCTAGTGCACGCATTATGTATATGATATGTTTTTTAAAAACAAATATACTTTTATGGTAATAATTATAGGAAAAAAAATAATAAGGAAAATGGATTAAGCATAGAGCACACTTTATAGTAACGCTTATCGTCCCGCATGACGATGAGGAGATACAAAATCAAGCAAATACGACGCGCTACGCAACGATATTGGGCAATCATGTTTACAGTAAATGCGCCGCCCTTTAGTTTACTCGAAGTTATAACAGAGCTCTTTTCCTAAGATATTCCACTAGGACTGGCTCTAATTCCAAAAAGGATAGATGGTTTATAATAAGTGAAAAATGTGAGTCTAAAAATTTTTTTTTTAGATTATTTAATCATGAACTAGCTTCCGCCCCAACCCCCCCCCCCCACCCCCCCCCCGGAAAAAATCGCTAGAAGATTCTCCAGGAAAAAAAATACTACAAATTTAAATTTTCTTACATTTCTAAAACCTCTCATTCTGGTCAAAAGTGAAAACCAGAATTTTTTTTTTTTTACTAGTCGGCCGTAAAAATATGACCTCAAAATTCCATTCGAAATTTAAAAAATATAATAAATAAATTTTCCCTTTTTGCAATTTTTCAAGTAATTTTATTTTAAAATAATTATGGGAAACGAAATAAATAAATCCAACCAAGAATTAATTATCGGAAGCTCCTATAAAAAAATTTATCCTTTATTTTTTTATTTACGAATTCCGGCCCGGGTATTTTTTTAAAGAAAGAAAGAAAGAAGTTAAAATTAAAAACTAGTTATTAAACAGCGGTAAAAAGCAAAAAAAAAGGAGGTTTTTTGGACCTTTAACCCCGATTATCTCCGCTAACATAGCTGCTAATCCGCTAAAATTTTGTTTGCGATCTAATGTGAACATATATAACCAGCCTACAATTTTTTGTCGAAATCGAGAGGGGTCGGCCGAAGATTGACTTGACATGGAATGACCTTGATTGACTTATATTACTTTATAGAAGTCGAAATTGGGGAAATGCAGTGTTTAGATCATAATCCAAAAAAACTTTTCCATATTTTTGTTTATTTATTTCGTCAAAAATTGATAAAAAATATGGGAAAAGTTTTCCATCATATCTGGTCTGGTCAACTCTGTAATTAAAATGTTTAAGATATCGCGCCAAATATAAATGGCGTTAGGGGGTGGTAACTGAGACTGGGTAAAAAGGGATAGAAATTGATTTAAAAAAATAATTTCAAATGAAGAAAAAATTATCGGCCAACTTTTAACATGAGAGTAATTGCTATATGATAGGTTACCAAAATGGCGGCTCCAGCTGATTTACATTCAACGACTCCTTCAAATGCATTATTACGAAGACATCGTCAGTCTAGGTAATATTTATATGTCATAGATTCAAATTTATCTTTCGATAAAATCGCCCAAAAAATTTTTTTCAAAAAAGAAAATTTATTCGCGAGGAAAATAAAAAACGTATATCATCGATAAACCTTTTTTTTTCATTAGATTTACTTTACATATAATGTATACAGAGTCTCCCTATACATCGAATACGCATCAGGTAAACGTGGGGAGAGGGGGAGGGGGTGTCCTGAAATCACGCCGAGCCCCTATAGAGTAAAACCGTGCATCAACCTGATTCGGCGGAGGATCGGTTAGGCTTTACCCTTGACTCGGTTGAGCGGGATGGTGATTTTTTTAAACTTATAGTTTCCCGGATAGGATAGTTAAGAAAACGAATTATTCGTTATTTGATTCGCTTATATCCGATTCGCTCATATTTCCCAATTATTCGAATCGTAATTACTAGAAATTATTCGTAAATTGGATTTTGGTTGATGTGGATTTAAAGTCGAGAACTATTATCATTCTTTCTTTCTATATTTTTTTTCAATCTAATTTCCATAATTTCTTAAAATATTATCAACGCTTTTTTTTCCCACTAGAGGGTCATCTCCCAATATGGCATCGTTTTATTTTAGTTTGAAAACCATGATTCTTTGGGATGGATGAAAGAAATTCTAAAGATTATTTATATGAAAAATGAAACATTGGGAAGAGCCAATGGCGGCAAATTTCAGCCCTATATATATATCCCCGGAAAAAATCGATGATTATATGAAAGCACTTGAACCTGTATAACGGTAGGCTCAATCATTCCTCCCCCCCCCCCCCCCATTTCCCGATTGTCAATGAACATTTATCTATTCAATCTGAGGTTCGTATAACAAAATAAAGAGATATGGGATCGTTTAAGCCTCCAAACCAAAACAGAAATATGGCATGTTAGGAGATGGTCTTCTAAAAAAGAAGGCGTCGATAACACAAAAAAATATATCAATTTAATTGGAAAGTGGAAGTCCATTACCAACTATATCTTCATATATTTTCTTTAAAATTATATTATTGGAGGCACACCAAGCCACATTTAACAGAGCCCCCCCCCCTTTAAAAGTAATCTAAGCTAAAGATCTGCAAAAGGTGGCTGGCCCATAGCCGGCTAAAATGGGCTTCCAGACGGGCTTGGATTATTTTTAAAATATATCTAAATTTATCAATTATATGTTGAATTTTTTTTAAGCTAGAGGCCATATAACATATACCTCTTATTTTGAGTAAATATAGAAATTAATTTCTATATTTAAATAAATTGGGGCAGGGCTGGAGAGGTAAATTTTTTTTTTAAATCGAGTTTGGGCTGGGCTGGCAAAACTTTATAAAAATTTTTGGGCCATGTCGGAATTGAAAAATTAGGCCCAATGCAGATCACTAATCTGTGCCCCTGTATGACTGCCTTTAAACAGCACCGTGCTATAGTTAATAATTACATGTGTTGATCGATATCAAGTATTAAAATATATTATTTGTACCTTCCAATGATTCGAGCTTATTATTTCTCAAGATAAGTTTCTTAAGTGATGATGACGCTAATGTATGGAAGGTTGGAATGTCCCTGAGTTGATTGAAGCCCAGATTGACATGCCTCAATTTTGGTATATACTATGGTTATTAATTCTAAAATTAATATATATATAAATATATTAACCTCTAAAAAATTCTTTGAAGTGGTTAAACTCTGATTGCTAAAGTCTAAGTGGGTGAGTTGAGAGAAAATGTTAGGATTCTTTATATTCACTAAATCTTTAAGATACACATGTTTTAAGTTATCATGCCTAACAATAAGCTTTTTAAGCATAGGCCAATCATAATTACCAGAATCATGAAATATTGCATCATCTGCACATTTTTCGAAATCAATGTCAACATTCTTGTTTGGGGATATATGCTTTTCCTCTAATGAAATTAATAATTCCTATTATAAAATAAAGTTATAATCTAGAGATGCCAATATTAGATTTTGATGATTATGATTCTTAAATATTTATATATTTTCCAAGATCCCATCCAATCCCCCCAAATTCATCAATTTTTTGACTTATCTTATTATATATCAGAGACCAGCAGAGATATCATTTCCATGGCCCAGCCCAGATTTTAAAAAATGATGCATTTTAAATTTTGATTAATTTATGAATTAAATAGGATACTTTAAAATCGTATGTAGATTTGTTGATGGCAAAAGTTTGCAATTTGTATTTAAGATGATGAGCATTTACAATAAGATGAGTGGGAACATTATATAGTTCCAGTGTGATTAGATTTTTAAAATGAGTCAAGTCAATTTTTGCAGGTATAGTATTCAAAAGGTCGTGAGTAAGCTAATTGATTAAAGATTCACCAAAAATATAAAAAGTGAGAACAATGCTTTAAATTATAATACTTTTAAAGATGGAGCAAAATAGAATACATCCATAAGGTAATAAAGATCATTAATAAAATCTTGATTTATTTTAAAAAGTAGTTGATTCCCTGGATCTAATTTCTCTTGTGTTAGCAAAGCTAACTCTTGATTTATCTTAGTAAGCATTAAGGTAGTCAAAGAAATAAAAGAGTTTTCACGGAATAGCTCATAGCCTGAATGATATATAAATGTGAGTAATGATTATTTTAAGGTAATAAATTAAACCTTTGCTTTTTAATATATTTGCTAAATCGCTGATAATATTAAAGTCTGTAGGTTCCAAATTTTTATCCTTATGTTTCTTATTAAAACAAAGCATTATAAAATCTTAAAAAATGGATAGGTGTAAATTAAGTAATCAATCATATGATTATTTGGAGTTGGGTCCAATCTTTCGAATATTAAATAATACTAAAAAGCAAGAAAGCTAAAATGGCATCTAATATGGCCTCTAATAATTTTGATGCAGAGTTATTCATTTGCTCAAAATAAAAAGATCTTCAAATTTTTAAAAATTTTGAACAATGATCTTGAAAGATCTAGATCTTTGAAAATTTTTTATATAAAATATTTTTGCCTATGATACTTATCACTTTTCTATGGTACATGTTTATTGAAATTTTAAATTTACTTGTTAATAAAATAAATTTTAGCCAATTTGCATCAAAAAATTCAAAAAAGTTAAAAACTACCGATTATGACACTTGTTACTTTTCGGTGTTCCTTACATCTTCATTGAAATTTTAATTTAATATTTTTTAATAATATAAATTTTACCCATTTTATCAAAAAAAATGTTTAAAAAATATAACGATTAGAACGATTGTCGCTTTTCTGTATTAGATTACATCTTCTTTGAAATTTTAATATAACAATTTATTAACATATGAATTTTTACCTATTTGTGTCAAAAAAAAGATTTGTAATCTTTTTATGGTACATCTTCATTCAATTTTAATTTTAATATTTTATGAACCCATTTACTTTGAAAAAAATATTATGAAAATGATAGTATATTAAAATATTTTATAATATGAAGATCATCGCTGATCAAAAATATTTTAAATAAAAAATCTTCAATATTTTTTAAAAATAAAGATCTTAAATTTCACGAACTCGAAAGATTTTGCTCAAATTGAGTTGCTTTAAAATCTTTGAAGAAGAGTTTTGTACAACTGATATGAAGTGAGGGAATTTAATATTAATAAAAATAAAACTTACTAAAAAAAATTTTTTGGAATCATTTATACTGACCTAACAATGTATAGATAACTAATCCGAATTTAGTAGGATATTTAAAACATTGTTATGATTTCATATTTGGAACAAATTATTTAGGTTGATAAGCACGACTAATAAAAACTTCTATAAAAATAAAGAAAACAAAAATATTAAAATAAAACCTATGAAATTTTTATTTTTATAATTATAATATTAAGGAGAAAGGGGATTTAAATTAAACATATTTTAAATATTATAAAAATATACACCTTGGGCGGGGGGGGGGTATTCAGCCTCTCCTGGAAATTTGGAAAGCGAACTAATAAATTAAGAAAAAATTTGCAGTTCGCGATCCATCTCAAAATACACACCTGATTATAATTAATGATCCTCATATATCACCGACTGGTATACATCAGACATATTATACCCTCTTCAGATATGGGTTAAAATCGCGAAATATGATAAATAGCGAGGCTTAAGCTATATAACAAAAAAATACGCATATTTTATTAAACGTAATTTATATAATTTTACCATCTTTGTTTAAGAATATACTTTTTACTATCGCTATTTAACCAGTTAACGGTTAGTTCATATAATTATATCTTCTAGAGGTAATTAAAGAGGCAGATTCTATCCATTTTTAAATTTCACCTTTTACATATTTGCATAGTAATTGGAAGCTTAAATTTCTTAAAAGTTTAAAATATGGCTCAAATTAAAAAAGTAGCAATTATTGGATCAGGAAACTGGTATGTATAATACTCTGCTATTTTATTAATACATATATTTTTTTTGCCTCTTTATAAACATCGATTAATATCAATATATCCTAACTCTGGTATTTCATTTGTTAAAATTTGTATAAAAAGTAATACTAACATTTTTAAATTAAATATGATATCTACTTTGGGACTAAAAAAACTTAAAGACTGGTATGGACTAAAAAAAACTGACTTTGAACACAGATTTAAAAAAAATACAGGTCTAAGATCAACCTTTTTTTGTATTAAATTTGTTCCCTGGTTATGTTTCATCTAGGCTTATAGTTTTATATTTAAATATCATAAATACACATGATAAAACAATTATATTGATATATCTTGAATAATAAATTTTAACATCCCTGTTAAAAGACATGCTTATAATTGAATGAGATGGGGGATATCAATTCCATTTTTATATTTATATTCTAAAGTTCATATTCATAGCTTCTAAAGTTATATTCATAGCTTCATTTTATTGGAAAGATGTTTCTTTTTTAACAACATCACCTTACTTTGCAAAATATATTTGATGATAGGAAAAAATGTTGTGTTTGGTTAAAACTATAAATATAGTTTTTTCTTAATAATAGATTTAATGTGGGAAATGGGAAATGATTGAATGGAAACTGCTCTGGAAAAAGGAATAACAAATAACATAAATATGAATAATTTGTATGCACTAAATGCTATTGCGATTAATATTTAGACATTTATTAAAATTATATAAGTGTAGGTGTACCACTCCAAATCATGGTTCAGGCTGGAATGCTTTAAAAAAACTTGCCCAGACTATTGACCTTATACAAAAAATTAATCTCCCTACTAGTCTAGTTTCTATTTAAAACCAATAGGACTGACTTATATGAATGGTAGATCAGAAGTGTGAAGAACAAGTATTAAATTAAAGGTACAAATCAAATCATGGGTAAGAGTCTCATGAGGATTCTCATGTTTTGGGAGACCGAGGGAATTGTTTTTATTATGACTCTGGTAGGCTTACTTCTCCCTTTACATTATAATTGATATATGTATATAAAGCAATATTAAAAATAAATTAAGATTTAGTTAATTTTTTTTAAAAATTCTATATTTTTTTTACAATTATATTTATATATGAAATATGGATGAATGCCTGATATATGTTAGTGGATAAGATATCTAAGATTTAATGTTAAGATTGAAATATTATTATTTATTTATCTATTCTGACCAGACAGCAAATATTTTGATGAATTTAATCTCATAAATATATTAAACATTAAAATACTATATCTATAAAATACTGAGGGAATTTATTTATTTTTGTTTTGTTCCATCTACTTTTTTTGTGTGATTTTGTAAAAATTTTCCATACCCTTTATTTTTTTAATACAAAAAGCAAATATGGTTTTTTTAAAAAGATAATTTATAATTTATTTTAGGTGAATACATCTGCTTTTTAAAAATGCATTTTAATAAAATTTTGAACTTTATTTTTTTAACTATTATAATTTTTTTAGAGCTCACATTTTTAGCTTATATTTATTAAATTAATATAGTTAACTATATTGAATAATATTTAAGATACATTTTATTGGGGATGGGGTAGAATCCACAATTTCTTTACTGATCTGATCAACTATATTCAGATTTTCACACAAAGAAACTTATCTGAACATGATTTTATTCACAATCAATCTTTAAAATTAACTCTATCCAATTTTTTTTTGAATGGTAAATATGTTCAACAATCCAATATTTAATATTAAATTTATCTTTTTAGTGGATAATAGAAATGGATAATAGAAAGCCGGGTAACTATCGCAAAATTTTTTTATATCTTTTTGTGACCTGCAAAATTGAAATTCGTTATTCTAGCCTAAGGTCCAAATTGGCCTGTACAGTTGTGGCCTTAAAAAAACTTATAAGGGAAAAAATACTTGAAATATTTATTTTATTTCCTATTTTAATGCTTCTTCTTCTTTTTTTAATGGCGATTTCCAGGTTTACCCTAAGTAAGCCAGTTTCCTCTCTGATTCTTTCTCCATTTTTGTCTTCCATCGCTATTTTTAAGATCCAAAACTCTGTCCACATCATCTTGGGACTTCCTCGAGGTCTTGATCCTCTTACTTCCGTTTTGGTGCACCTCTTTATTCAGTCATTCTTAGTCTTTCGTCTCCACATTGTTTGTGCTGCAATAAATTTAAAATTTTCGGCATAAAGGGGAAGCGTATGAAAGAAATGTAACACTAATATTTTTTTGGGGGTCAGACTGACCCTATAATTTTATAGATGACGTTAATTGGCAGACAAAAGGTTGATTTGTCTTATAAACCATTTTAAATGATGTCTTTTTTAAAAGCCAATTTAGCCCACCATTAAAAATGCTAACTTTTCCTACTCAAAATATTTTTTGCATGCCCTCCCAAATTTGTTTTTATGTCTATTGTGAATCATCTTACAATTATTCGATGCCGCTGTAAAAAATGTTAATAAAGAGTTATATAACCATAATACGGCCCGATAAAATTTAATCGAATAAACTTTAGCGCAATAGATGGCGTATAAACTTTATTTTTTTCGACTTTGCTTTCAGAAGTTTATTTTTTTTTACGAATGTCCGCCCCATCTCCTTCCAGATCAGAATACAATATAACTTTTTATGAGAGGCCGCAAATAGAACGCCTACAGGATTAAGAATTTTTGTGTTTTTATTGCCCCTTCATAGAAAAATTCTTGACCCCTTTAGCTATACGATTTTGGCCGAATGGCTACCATTAATTGATATATCTCAGCAGAGACCTGCAGAGGTATCATTTGCAAGGCCCGGTCCGGATTTTTTTCAGAAATTTTTTCGGCCCGGCCCGGGTTATATATTTTCAGGCTCGGCCCGGATTTTTTAAAAATATATTATATTTATTTTTGATTCTTGTAGCTAATAATGGCGATTTAAAATATTGCGTTTTAAAATATACGGCCCGACTCGGAATTTTTTTTTAAAAAGAATTTCAAACCCGATCCGGCCCGGTTATTTTTTAAAAAGAATTTCAAACCCGGTCCGGCCAGGTTATTTTTTAAAAAGAATTTCAAACCCGGTCCGGCCCGGTTATTTTTTAAAAAAAATAGTAGGCCTGATCCGGATATATTTAAAAAAATTAAAATACGGCGGACCGGGCCTGCAGGTCTGATATATCATTGCCCAAATGTCAATCCAATCATTCTCTAGCTCCAAAATCAATCCTTTTCTTTCTCCCATATAAAATATACCGAAAATTTAGATTATCGCATATAAGAAGTAAGACGAGGAGTTGATGCACCGATTCTTTATAGGGCCTTCGCCCTTTTTAAATTTGGTCAGATTGGCCCCATTTCAACTGGCCCCAAATGTCCCATCGGTCCACACTTTAAGAAACCACGTGACACTTAATTTTAATTCTCATAAAGGGGGACCGTTATAGCGAGGATTATCGGGGAGAACGTTAAGAAACACGCCGACAAGTTTGACAACACGGTTAAAATGTACGTTTACGAGGAGGTTGTCAATAACCGAAAACTGACTGAGATCCTCAACTCAGATCACGAGAACGTCAAGTACCTACCCGGTTACAAAATTCCCCTCAACGTCGTAAGTTAATTTTTTTTAGAATAAATTTTTCCGCTTTTAAAATTTCCGCCACGGAAAGCAAGTTATGATAATTTTTTTTAAACTCCCCTGATTGGTGAAATGATAAGGATGTTAAATAAAATGTAATATATGCCTTGTTTAAACTTAAAGGAATGAAAGGAAAGAATAAGGGATGGAAAGGAAAGTGACAAAAAAGAATAAATGAAAGGAAAGAAGAAAGAGAGAAAGATTAAATAGAAATTTATATTTGCGTCGACGCATTTATTCGCTAGAACATTTATCATCAAAAATCTCCCAAAAGTGAAACTGAACCATATTTAAAATTATTATATAACCCATATTTACACCTGTCATTTTTACGAATTATATCAGTATACATATTCGAAAAAGGACCATTGATGCCAGGGTTGGCTACCCTAAAAGGAGGGTAGTTATGTGCAAAGTTTCTTTGTGCTATTAATAAAGTCGTACACAAAAAAAATCGCTCTTTTTGAGTAGCATGTGGCTCAGAAGGGATCTTGTGATTGAGGAATCACTAAATTTCGACCTTGGTTTCAATCCAGGTGGGATGGTATTTTTATGAAGATAAGGCTTCTACGGGATATGTATATTTAGTGGATATAAAGTTGGGACGCGATATGCATTAAGTATCCATCCGCCGTTAATGTACATTAAGCACGAGTCTTCCTTGCATTTTAAATATTTTGGAGATTTCTTAACAAGTTCTGTATGATGTCTGTCTTCTCACTCGATTCTCATACCCCGGGTAATGAGATGGTGCGCAGTTAGACAGCGTATAACAATTTACTAAATAAACGACCAAATTATATTAAAATCTGAGACCCGCAAATTGCACAGCCCGGCCCGGTTTAGAATATTTTTTAGCCTAACTCGAATTATCCGAAAAAAATTACTTTTCGGCCCGGATATAGAAAATTTTTTTTTTTACAGCACGGTTTACAAAAAATAAATTTGGGCCGAAAAGAATATGTCATTACTATAAGTTTTTCAGATTTTAGTATCTGATAACTTGGAAATTGGCGGTGTCCAAAACTGTTTAAAAAAAAATTCGGAAAGTGTAAAATCTTAATTTTAAAATTTTAAGGAAAGTCGTATGCTAAATTTTTTTGAAAATTTATGAAATTTCCTAGAATTATATTTTGGTTTGAAATAGCCTAGCTTTATTTTCATTCGCTCCATACTCGGAACGGGCTTTGGTCCGGTCCTGCAGGTCTGACTAAAACGCAATGAGATCCATTTTTGATGTATATTAGCGGATACTTAGTTAAATCATTTCTTGATTACCGACTCGCTATAGTTATAACCGTGAAGATTTCGAAACTTAAACCGATTATAAAATCGGGGTATCTAACGGCTGAGACACACGGGTCACTCAAATACAATAATTGTGTAGGATTGCCTGAATACGAGACGCACTTCAAGAAAGTTGAACATAGGACACCTCTTAGAAACAAATGGTAGATATAATACAGCTGATTTTCTTAAAAAAATTTTTTTGGTGAATGGCAAAAATATCATTTTTCTTTTTGAAAAAAAAAAAAATTTGAATCTTTTTGAAGGTTGAATTCGAGAAAAAAAAAATTTGATAAAATTTAATATTTTTTTGCGAAAAGCATAATTTTATCATTGGGAAATTTTTATAAAATAGCACCAGAGATTTAATAATTCTTCATCGACAATGGCTGAACCCTGCATGTCAGCCTGAATCCCGCTATAACGCTTGAAAGTGAAATCTGCGAGATTCGGAAAACTCGGCCATCAAAGTCACGCGGTTAATAACGCGCGAAATTGGAATTTATGAAATTGCCATTTATATCACGATGACACGTTATAGCGACCCTAAATTGGGCTCGGACTTATTATATTTTGAATCGGAAAATTTTAGGACTAAGAAAGTATTTAGATGAAACGTTTAAATTTTATATTCAAAAAGGAATTTGGAAGGGAATTATATTGGAAGGCTGGGGAAGATATAAAAATGAGCAAGAAAGAATTTTGAGTGAGGAACAAAAACTGACTAGTGGAATGAGGAAAATTGTTTAGGGATTTAAAAAGAGATTAGTCAATTTTTCTTGTTGAAAACCCTATAGTTGAACCTACAGGAGAGAGTTCATCGTGGGAAAGGGGGGGAAATAACATCTTTATGTTGAGGCTGGATATCAAGGCTACTTTTAGAGGCCTACAACTCATCTCAATCGCACAAATTTAGGTTCAAGGAACCCTCAAGATATAAATCAGAGTTGAAATCATTCTTTAAGATTTTATGCCTGAGGCATTAATGCCTAATAGTTTGCAAGGGATCCAGATGATCGACCTTTGAATTCCCTCTTGCGATAATAAAGTAAACTCTAAATTTGAGTAAGAGGAAGCCATAGCGAGAGTTGATAATATGACCATATGTAGGAAAAAGAAGGATGGCAAGAGCGAACCTTTATGGATGCTATTTTGAAGGCCACTTCTGAAGTCTTAATTTGCAGAAATATTTATCGAGCTCATCATAAAAGTACGTACAACGTGAGAGGGGCCACTTCGCAACCGAATCCGATCTCTGAAGCCTAACCGGGGGAATGACCGTAGAACGAATTCTGTCTAATATGATTTCGACAACTAATACGACCCATCAGTTATGCGTTCTAATACTACCGTCCGATCCAGGTTGGTTAATAACACAAGAGGGTGCGCCAACTGGAATAGGAAGTATAGGAAGAGGAACTCACATTATGAGAATAATATTACAAGAATTCGGTTAATGATTTTTTAAGGGGTCAGTAAAAACAATATCAGGGCATTTGATTCAGTCAACAAATTTGAAACCGTTTAAACTACCTGCCACCATTTTAAAGGACATCAGGTTCTCAAGGACTTCATTACTAAGAGGGATTAATGTTAGAAAATGGCGCCGATGGCTACAAGTTGTTGGAAAGTATTGATGTTGATCCGAGAAATTATATCATATCAAAAATTCGAGCAGAACTGCTAATATCACCAAGGTCAAAATTTTTTAGGGCTAAATTTTCCGCATATTGAGTTAAGACTTAGAGAACAAGATTAATCATTTAGCGAACACTTTATCTAGAAGCTGCTATTGGAGGGTTTAACCAGAACTCGGAACCATCAACTAACTAATTAGGTCTAAACATGAGGATCTGGAAGAGGAGTCGGAATTTAAACTGTTTTAGCAGAGATCTCCGGGAATGAGGTTATCACGCGAAGTAGAAGGAAATCTTATAAAATAATCTGGGGAAAATGGAGGGGAATTTTCAGAATTGAATTCCTCTGAATTCCATCTAAATTAATGGTTAAATTGAAATCACTTCAATCAATGCAAACATGCATTTACTATAAAATCTAATGGTGGGAGAGTTTAATGAAAATAAAACTAGACATTTTGAAAAATAGGGGGAGGGAGAATGGAATAAGGAAAAATTCGAAAGATCTTAGAGAGGATAAAAAACTATATTATATGAGGTGATATGTAAATAAATATAAGGTACTAAAGAAACCAATGTTGAAGTTTTGAGAGCAACAGGTTTTAGAGAGAAATTACATTAATATATTATGAGTGAGTTGAAATGTTAATAATCAATACAAGCAATTATAATTGGCTTAACAAAAAAAACAAATATTGAAGTTTTAGTCGAGGGATAAAAAAATAAATATTTATATATCTATATGTATTTTGCGTGTATTATGATTGATATTAACAAGTATGAGGATTAAAATCGATATTGCGAATGTTAGTAAAAAATAAAACCAATATTGAGATTTTAAGAGATGTACACTAGATCTAATACGTGAGAACTGTATCAAGTACGATTCGTAGAGAGAGCAAAGGATAAATAAAAATTTATATATTTTAAATGCATTCTTTCCTTCCTTCCTTCCTTCCTTCCTTCCTTCCTTCCTTCCTTCCTTCCTTCCTTCCTTCCTTCCTTCCTTCCTTCCTTCCTTCCCAAGACTCAAAAAAACTCATTCAAAAGCAAATAAAAATGGTGGGCATAGTTTATTTTTTTTAAAAAATAGTAAATTCATCGAAAAAAAGCGGGTTACTATAACATCCGGTTCATATTTTATAACGTTTTTAATATGAGCTCGCATTCACGCCTACCTATATTTCTGGAGCGTTTAATCTGCCATTCTTTGACGCAACGGAAATCCTTATCTCCCTTTCTCTAATAATACTTTCCATTTTACCTCCCCAGGCTTCTTTCTCGACTCTCGTCATTAAAAACTATGTCCCCCTATTAAGGTAAAAACCCACTGAGACCGACTTTTCAAAATGTAAAAGAAAATCGATAATGACAAATTCCAAATAAATCAGACTGATTATACTGTACATATAATTAAAAATGGCCACTCGATAATTTTATCGTCAAAATTTCGAAAATAATTTCGTATACTTTTGGCCTTGGAATTATTTTTTTTTTCGTCCATTCCTTATCGGAAAAAAGGATCATTAATAAAAGATTTTAATCTTGCTAGCATATTTTTTTGTCATTTTTTCTTCAAAATATAAAAATAAATAGAATGGATAAAATTGAAAAATGATTTAATTTTTTTTTATCATTAATTTTAACGATTATTTTATTTATTTGAAAATTGACCATCGTCATTGCTATCAGTGTGTGAATAATAAGTTTAATCGTATATAAATTCGATTTGATTCGAGCAGGGATGCGAACCCGGCAAAATTTTAGCCCGGGTTCGGTTCGGGTTCGGTTCGGGTTCGGTTCGGTTCGGGTTCGGTTTTAGATTAAAAAAAATAGGTGGGCTCGGGATCGGTTAAGGGAAATATTTTTAACCCGGGTTTGGTTTCGGGTTTAGCTCAGAATTTTTGAATTGATAAAAAAAGAATCTATATTTAAATCATAATTTTTTAAAAAAAAAAAACTAGACATAAATTTGGTATAAAAAATTAATTTTTTTATTTTATTTATAGGCAAAAATATAGTTAAAAATACAAAGCGGTCATGTATCAA